ATGGATGAAGTATATATAGTACTGAGCAAATGTTTTAGACGCCTGAGAAAATTATATTTCAAAGCCGTTTTTCTGGACAGTGAGCATTTATTCGCTAAGAAAAACACTAATATTACTGTAAATACATAATGTTAATAAAATAAGCAGTGATTTTACGTATCGCTGCTGTTGGAAGAAAACCTCGTATCTCTATTTTTGTCGTTTTTCAGTTTCTGACATCATTTGAAAATGCCTGTTGCTCTTTACATTGTGTGTAAATTTCATGATGAATGGACCAAAAGAAGTGACCCAAAACGACTTGTAAAAAAGTCTGGTTCTGTTGACTTACATTAAAAGTAAAGAGGGTTTTTTTCCTTCTCCTGTAAAGTTGTACATTTAATCTTTTCCAAACCTTTCCTTGTGGCAGGCCAGTTTTGTTTGTAGTTATCATACAATACCTGGATTGGCTAATCAATACTTCAGTATGTTCACCACTGGAAATTCTTTTTAGCCTATGTTTTACGCTTAATGTCCGTCTACACTGGTAGAAATAAAGGTGCTGTGCAGGTACATTTTTCGTTTATCAAGGTATACACAATATAAATGTTCCCTCAAAGGTACAACAGTGGATTTAAGGTCCAATTGTGAACCTTAAATAAGTTTTTCCAGGTGAAAAGTTCGTATTTGTACCTTTTCATAATCTAATGTTTTAAAACAGAGCAATAAAATAAAAACCCTGGAGGCGAGACGGGGTGTGTGGAGTCAATACAGCTTAGAAAATATCATTTCAGTGGATTATGGTACAGTTATGTTCCCTGACTAAAGGTACTGAGATGTACCCTTGAGGGTACCACCCCAGTGACGTTGGGGTACTGCCCCAGTGAGAGTTTACTACCTTTTTTTCTGAAATTGTAGGAAACTGTCCCACAGTTCTGAAACTAATCTGTATGTTATGTAGCTGTGAGAGCAATGAACTGAAGTAGGGGTCACATAAGGGACTTTCGAGCTTAAAAGTAGTAACAGTGATCAATTTAGGATTTCAAGCAGTTCAGTAATGTTTACTGTAAGCCTGAGCAGGAGTTTTTAAAGATGGCTCAATTGGTTTCAGTAGGAATGGTGAGTAAAGTAACATCTGCATTTAAATGTGTGGGTAAGGCAGCAGTAAATGTGATTGATCGAATGCACAGATTCAATGACAGTGATGCTCATGCATTAGTGCAAAATGTAAAGAAAAACAGGTCAACAGTTCAAGAACAGAGACGATCTCAGATGATATCAGTAGTGTAGATACCTTCGGCACTCCGATCTACAGAGATGACGAGTCAATCTTCACCATTTTCTCCACAAGTGGACAAGTGCATGTGTGGTGTAAAAGCCTGGTTATGCTGGGGGGGCCGTTTTACTCCCATGGTTTGAGTCCACTTTCCAGTTAGACTGAAAGGTCACTCCAGGTCAGTGCAAAGTTATTCTGACTGATCATTATTATCCTATAATGAAACATTTCTCTCCTGAGTGGAGTGGTCTCGATGCTGCCATGTGCAGGGCATGAGGGTTCACTGAATGGTTTGATGAGTGTGAAAATGATGTAAATCACATGCTATGGCTTTCACGGTCACCAGATCTCGACTCAGTTGTACACCTATGGGAGATTTTGGACTGGCGAGTTAGATAGCGCTCTCAGAGCAGGTACTATTTGGGTGGTGGATCACTCTCAGCACTGCAGTAACACTGATGTGGTGGTGGTGTGTTAGTGTGTGTTGCGCTGGTATGAGTGGATCAGACACAGCAGTGCTGCTGGAGTTTTTAAACACTGTGTCCACTCACTGTCCACTCTATTACCTTGTTGGTCCACCTAGATGTAAAGTCAGAGACAGCAGCTCATGTGTGTCAGCACAGTTTGTGTTGGTCATCCTCTAGACCTCCATCAGTGGTCACAGGACGCTGTTGGCTGGACATTTTTGGTTGGTGGACTATTCTCAGTCCAGCAGTGACACTGAGGTGTTTAAAAACTCCAGCAGCACTGCTGTGTCTGATCCACTCGTACCAGCGCAACACACACTAACACACCTCTACCACGTCAGTGTTACTGCAGTGCTGAGAATGATCCACCACCCAAATAGTACCTGCTCTGTGAGGGTCCATGGGGGTCCTGACCACTGAAGAACAGGGTAAAAGGGGGCTAACAAAGTATGCAGAGAAACAGATGGACTACAGTCTGTAACTGTAGAACTACAAAGTGCACCTATATAGTAAGTGGAGCTGATAAAATGGACAATGAGCATAGAAACAAGGAGGTGGTCATAATGTTATGCCTGATTGGTTCTGTAGTGTTTAAACAGCATCCATCAGAGAGCACAATAAGCTCTACAGAGTCTGAACAGATGATGCCTGATGCTGAACCGCTGTTTATGATATGTCTATGACCCAGAGTAACCTCTCGACTGCGGCCAGAGTGCTCAACTTTATATGTGTATGCGTGTCATACTTTTGTATGTATTAGCTTTCCATGACCCATAGTAACCCCCCTGCTTCAGCCAGGGTAGTGAATCTGTATGTGTGAGGGTGATTAATCTGTATGACCCAAAGTAACCTCTCTGTACTCCTTGCTAACTCTGCACTAACTCAAGTTATATACCTTAACTCTGTTCTGAAACTTAAATATGGTGATTTTTCGCATTGTGGACGTAGCATACATCTGTGTGTATCCCAGTCATCAAATGCAACATCCTTTCACTTCTGCTTTTGCCTGAATTACAGAAAATTCTGCTGTAGTTAGTCATCATAGATTCTTGGAATGTAAAGCTCCTCTGGTTAAATCAACAGTGCGGTGTTTCTCTCTTGAGAAGCTTCATCAGTTGATGAACAGAGTGAGATGGTTTCAGCTAAATGAACACTTATGTAGTTTCATTCAAGTTAGGATGAAAAAGAAAGCTCTGTTGTCATTTAGTGAGAGGAAGGGAAACTGTATGTGTGTGAGCTGAAGGAAGGTGTCATTCTAAAGAATAGTACATTATGCTCTGAACTTTAAGGAGAGGTATTAGGAGGATAGTGACCGTCATCCATTCACATCAATAGATCTGTTCTTAAATGGCTATTTAGTAGATGACTATATAATAGTATTGGCATTTTTTTTTCTGTTAGGCAATAATTCTTGCATGAGGTTAGGCCTGGGCAATAACATTGTCACAATAGTTTCTTGTTATAAATATATAAAATTCATTGTCAATTATATTGTCCCCCTCCCAAAACCCTGCAAACCCCCACAGACCACTGACGTATTTTCTGTGATTTCTTTAGCTTGTTGTAGCATTAACTGATTTATTGAAAAGCTATTAATGAAAACAGCTCCTGCTGTTGTGGGTTCATGAGTGAGTGAAAACCATGTCCACTTGCTTTATATCTAAAAACAAACATTTCCATCGTTATAGCAGACGTAATGTGGAATTCAGCTGTAGATGCCTGTGAGAAACGTTGAGGTGTTATATTTTTATAATTTTACAGTCTGAACCGCTAAGCTATACATAAAATGTTTAGAATTTTTTGTCCGGTACGTTGCACTCAGTGGGGAATTTGCCGTACTGTAGCCTAATATTGCTCTGGAATAATCCATCTGTATTAATGCTCTGTAACAATCCTCTGTTTTAACTGTTAAAGAGAATAAAGCATTACACGTACATATTATTTAATATAATATAGCAACTGGTTAAAAATGAAAAATATTAGCTCTTTTTTCTAACATGGCATTTAAGCACCTTTTCATCTGGCTATTTGTCAGTCATTGCCAAAAATCCAATTACACTGCTCTGTTGCCCCGGCCTACATTAGGCCAAATCTGTATAAAAGAAGTGAAACAAAACATTTTGAATACAGACATTTAACACTATTTAGGACTTAAATCAGAAATGTATCAAATGTATTACTGATTGGCTGGAATCAGTAATCCGGCTGGCAGCTGTTTTTAATGCTCTAAAACTGATCTGAGATTAGATAAAGTACCAAATTCAGGGTGTCAAACTCAACCACTAAAAGGGCCGTATTAAAAAATCTCAGCAAATCTGTGGGCCAGCTGTGTTTTTATTTCATTTTTACTTTACATTTTGCCGTGACCCGAACGGGCCATTGATTATTCAAAATATTCTGAAACTACAACAGCAAACTAGGCATTAAATACCTATTCAGGAATAATTCTAAATAAACATAAATTGTTTTAAGTAGTTTTTTTTAAATTGCGTATTTACATGAACTGGACACCAAGGCTTCTTTTTGCGTAACCGCTGACCCACAGATTGTTGTTGGAGGAAAGTGGCTCAGAATGCACACTATGTTGCAGTGCATGCTGGGAACTGTAGTGCATCTTGGGATGAAATGGGCTACTAAGAACATCCATCCATCCATCGTCTAAACCGCTTATCCTTCTGGGTCGCGGTGGGGTGCTGGAGCCTATCCCAGCTGTCATTGGGCGGAAGGCAGGATACACCCTGGACAGGTCGCCAGTCCATCGCAGGGCAGACAGACAGACATACACGGTCACACACTCACTCACACCTAGGGGCAATTCAGCATGTCCAACCAGCCTGACTGCATGTTTTTGGACTGTGGGAGGAAACCGGAGTACCCGGAGGAAACCCTACTAAGAACAGAAAATTAACACACATGGATACTAAAGCGATAATGACCAGCAGAAGTCATTTAGTCATTGACTATGGAAAACATGTCAGTGTTACAAGCACTCTATAATGCTTTATAATGTCCATACGATCCATGCAGTCATTCACATAGATTTCAGTAGACTACAGGAAGTGTACAGGGCGATATGGCTTCTATTGTTACACCACAGAAGAAGAGCTCACTTGTTGCACGAACAGAACTGTGACTAATGGTGGCACAATTATGGGGCAAAATGAGAAGAAACTGCAGAAGGCATATTGGTTCAGTTAGTGCATTAGTCTAACAGCAGTCGATAGATTAATCGATTGTTGAAATAATCATTAATTGCAGCCCCATCCGCCCTCTCCCCGCAGGCATGCCGTGATTTCCTGGAGCTGGCGGAGAGCCACAGTCGCAGATGGCAGCGGGTCCTGCAGCATGAGAGGGAGCAGCGCACTCACCTGGAGGAGACCATCGAACAGCTGGCCAAACAGCACAACAGCCTGGAGAGAGCGTGGAGAGAGGCCCCTACACACTCCACCAACACGCCAGACACACCCACCACACACACTGGTGAGCTGAGGCAGCAGTACCACAACAGGGAAGAGTGTTTTACACTCCCCTTTTTTCACTCTTTCTGTCTCTACATCTCTCTTTCTCTTTCTCACAGAACTAAGTACTCTCTTCACTCACTGAGTTTCCTATTTACAGTGTTGGAAATATCCAGAACTGCATGTTTTAGTGTTTTACCTGCACTAAGGCTGGGCGTACACTACACATTTACATTTTACATTTACAGCATTTAGCAGACGCTCTTAATCAGAGCGACTTAAAAAAAGTGCTTTGTCTATCTAGAGAAAGTATCTTTGCTAGTTACCAATAGGTTAGAGAGAAAGCTGAGCTGAGCTCAGATACTGCTAGAAAAAAAAGTCCATGTTGATACCCAGAGAAAAAGGAGCAGAGTTAAACACAGCAGTGCAATACAATACATTTCAATAAGTGCAGTACAATACATTACAATGAATTACTGAACTCAGTGCTCATTTAAGTGCTGTATAAAGAGATGTGTCTTCAGTCTGCATTTGAAGACCACGAGAGACTCTGCTGTTCAGACAGCCAGTGGGAGTTCGTTCCACCACCTGGGTGCCAGGACGGAGAAGAGTCTTGATGCTTGTCTTCCACGCGTCCTGAAGGATGGCGGGTCAAGCTGAGCTGTACTCAAAGCTCGAAGGGCTCGTGGTACAGTTCGAATTTTGACCATTGCCATCAAGTAGGGAGGGGCTGGTCCGTCTTTGGCTTTGAAGGCCTCAGGGTTTTAAATCTGATGCGTGCAGCTACAGGAAGCCAGTGAAGGGAGCGCAGCAGTGGGGTGACGTGGCTGAACTTGGAGAGATTGAAGACGACCCATGCTGCTGCATTCTGGATGAGTTGCAGAGGCTTGATGGCCGCATTGGAAGACCAGCCAAGAGCGAGTTGCAGTAGTCAAGCCTTGAGATGACAAGAGACTGCACTAGCACCTGGGTGGCCTCTCGAGTGAGAAAGGGTCGGATCCTCCGGATGTTGTACAGGAGAAATCTGCATGACCGAGTTAGATTCGCGATATGAACAGAGAACGATAACTGCCCATCCAGAATCACACCAAGACTTCTTGTCTCTTCGATTTTTTGTCTGATTTTAACCCTGATTTGCGACAAATTGTCACAATCTGAAGCAATTTTTCAGGCCGGGAGCTCAATTGCACTGACGGTGCAGATGATCTGGTAGTGTGAGAACATGGACAGGATATTTGTCGTACAAGAAGAATGTACTTTAATAATGAGTGCGTTTTTTAGTGCGTGTTAATGTTTCTTTGAGTAATGCAGTGTTGGAGTGTTGAGTAGTGTTGTAGTATTAGTGAGTAGTGTTGGTGTTGGAGCATTGGGTAGTGTTTATGTGTGTGTGTTCAGTGTTTGAACTGTGTGTTCTCTGCAGGAGTGAGTGAGAGGCCCCGAAAAGAAGAAGCGAGTGATGAAGATGAAGATACAGAATATTTTGACGCCATGGAGGATTCACCTGCATTCATCACAGTGACCGCCACTGACCCCTCACAACACAGGTTAGAGTCACAGACACACACACACACACACACACACACACACGTGCAGTATTATACAAGCATGTTATTATTATTCTGTGTCCCGGTGACCATGTGGATAGTGGTTTCTCCAGAATGTCCTGTTTTCTGACATGCAAACACACACACACTACTATTATTACATGTTACACTCACCCACATATCTGTACTGTGTGTGTGTGTGTGTGTGTGCGTGTGCGTGGGTGTGTGCGTGTGTGTGTGCGTGCGTGTGTGTGCGTGCGTGTGTGTGCGTGTGTGTGTGTGTGTGTGTGTGTGTGTGTGTGTGTGTGTGTGTGTGTGCGCGTGTGTTGTTTTAATGAGTTTGCTGTGCTGATTCTCTGCATGGTTCAGTTAACAACTCAAGACAGTTCCCTTCTCATTATCCAGTAAATCTGCTTTCAGTGTACTTATCACACATGCACACTTTCTTTCTTTCTTTCTCTCTCTCTCTCTCTCTCTCTCTCACTGTCTGTCTTTCTTTCTGTCTCTCTTTCTGTCTTTCTTCTCTTGTTGCTCCCATTGTTCTATGCATTAGATTCATTTATAAGACTGTGTTTGAACTATAATCCCTGCAATCGAAGCAACCAAAAGCAGTTTGTGAGTGAGTGTGAGTGAAAATGCAATGATGCATATGATTAAAATATAACAGTAATAATAATAATAATAATAATAATGAACTTTATAACACCTTAAGTGCCTCACAGTACAGCAAACCAGTGTAAATGAAACAGTGAACAGCAAACAAAAGTACAGAATTAAAAGGATCTTCTTAAAAGTAAAACAGGTAAAGCAATAAAATGGAAAGAAAAATTGAATAAAAATCACAATTAAAACAATAAAATTAATAAATTAAGAATAGAAAAAGCTTCACTCTTTGGAAAAACACCAAGTAGGCAAACATTTGCTTTGGCTAAGTTTAGCGTTTAGCTTATGCATCATAGCATTTTGGTACAGTAAAATATGGGTGCATGGAAAACATTCATAAAAATAGTAATGTGTGTGTGTGTGTGTGTGTGTGTGTGTGTGTGTGTGTGTGCGTGTGTGTGTGTGTGTGTGTGTGTGATTGCAGGCGTTCTCAGAGTAATCTAAGTGGTGCCAGTGGTGGGCAGCCCAGCGACTGGAACCTGGAGGACCATGTAAGTGTCACATTTTCTCTTTATTTCTGATCTGAGAGTCTTTCCACTTTTCCATGCTCTGCCCACAAATACATTCTTATCTAGAATTGCTAGTTTGGACAAGTTTTACACAACATTAGCAGAAATTGCATTGATTGCTAATGCAAGTTGAGGAGACAAAACACACAGGAAAAACTACACAGCTGCTTTCATGTGTGCTGTGATAACACCGCTGATTAAGGCGAGTAAAAACGCATCGAGACACTTTAGAACTTGTACTACAAAGATAATGTGGTCATATGTGTCTCTGACCACCTTCCGAGGTGGTTTGGGTGACTGGATCACTACATGTCTCAAAGACTTACTGTACCCCGTTCACACCTGTACTTAGTGTGTTCACCCAGGACGCATGTTAATACCAGTGGTAGACGGTGTATCGCTGCTGTCGGTACAAAACCTCATATCTCAAAAATGGTAACTTTACAGGAGAAGGAAAAAACATACTTTACTTTTAATGGAAGTCAATGGAACCAGACTTTTTTTCTGAGTCATTTTGGGCTGTTTCTTTTGGTCCATTCATCATGAAATTTACACACAATGTAAAGGATAACAGATATTTTGAAATTATGTCAAAAACTGAAAAATGACAAAAATGGAGATACAAGGTTTTATGTTAATACCAGTGTCAATACCGTATATATATGGTTTATAGAATATCTAGTGTTTTATGTATGTATGTATGTATGTATGTATATGTGTGTGTGTGTGTGTGTAGCAACTATAAACTCTTATGTAGGAACCCTAAACAAATAGTTTGTCATTACATTAAATGGGATTCTGCAAAAGAATGCATCTGTGGGCGGAGCAAAGATAGGTCAGTTTAGAAACTCTTCGTTTTAATGCTAAAGGGCATAATTTGAGATTTGCAGAGTGGAGCTGGTCTTTATTAACAAGGTTTATACTGATTTATGCTGTTTTTCATACTGAGTCATCTACTGAGGCTTTGAACAGCACAGAAATTACATGACGTTGCCATTGCATAAACACTAACACCCACACAAACACACAGTGTGTGTGTGTGTGCATGTCCAGTAACTCCCTGTGGTGCTACAGACACACAGATCCTGTGTCATTTTCACTCTTAATTAGCTTACAGACAGCTGCTCCCTCTCTCTCTATCATTCTCTCTCCCTCTCTCTCTGAGTCAGTTTGTAACTTTTCTGAGTTTTCTGTCCTTACGGCCTCTTACAGGCTGCAGTCCAGTGCTTCAGTTCAACTTTTTTCATCCAAATTCACCATTTTCTAACAGCTCCTCATTAAACAGAACATTGTCCTCAGTTTCTTCTAGCTGCTAATTGGTGGTGGTGCATAAATGGTGTCCTCTTCTTTTCTCTCTGTCTCTGTTTCTCTGTGCCTCTCTATCTGTAAAAGCCACTGAACTGAATCCTGCGAATAAATGTTTGTCGTCCATGACTGTATAACAAAAATCTGCAACTCCAGGCGTTTCAGTCTGACAGTAAAGGTGTTACAATAAGGCACACTTGAGAGAAAGTCTCACCAAACTGTGCAGCTTTTACACACAGTGGAGCAGCAAAGTACACAAAACAGTCCTGGTTACTTTTGCTTTGCCTGAGGTTTCCTGGTGTCCATGGTGATCAGGCAGATCCTGAGAAAACTCCACCCACTTTTAATGAATTCCCACAAACTCTTCCCTCCGGAGAGCAAGTCCCATCTCCCAGATTTCTTTGACTGATGACTTCATGAAGTGTGCCACAACACGATTTCACGCACGCTGCTGTCGGAACAAAACCTCGTATCTCTTTTTTTTTTTTCCGTTTTTCGGTTTTTGACATAATTTGAAAATGCCTGTTGTCCTTTACATTGTATGTAAATTTCATGATGAAAGGACCCAAAGAAACGGCCCAAAATGACTTGTGAATGACGAGAGCGATATTTTTGTGCATTATGAAATTTAGGGTGTGTTAATAATCTATATATGAAGCATTTTGTTCCAAAAAGAAAATATTCTTTTTATTTTCCATGATATATGTTGTCAGGAGTGAGCTTTACACATATAATAATGCTATATTATGATTATTACCATATATATTAGAGATATAAAAAATATGTTTTCCATTATACATCAACTGTAATTCTTTTCAAAAACTCATTTTAGCCAGAATTGTTACAAATGGATGTAGAGATATGTTCAGTTTCGGAATGAAACTCTTTATATATTTATAAAGCCACATTTATAAATGTTTACTGAATTCAGCAACAGCTTCTATTGGAAATACGTTTCAAATCATTTTATTTCATGTGTAAAAGGGAATGCACTGAAATTACTATCCATGGTTATTATTGGAGTATTCCTTTAAAGACATCTTAAAGAGGAGCTCAGTTTAATCACAGATATAATAAGTAACCGCCCTACATAGTTCATGTGCATTGCTGCTGTTAGTGTTTTAAGTATTTGTCTGTGTATTTATGTGCCAGATTGCCAAAGACAAATTTCAATTTTATTATTTTTTAATAATTTTTTGCAAATTTAATGGACAATAAAGTTTTCTTATCTTATCATTGAGATGTAAACAAAGTCATGCAGAGTGGTTTGGTGTGAAATGGTTCATTGCAGAGAAACTCTGATTTCTTTACAGTGGTGGTGATCGGACCAGCCACTTCAACAACACGAATGTAGCCGTTTCATCTACTGTCACGTGTCTTCTGAGTTTTCTATGTAATATAGCTATTTGGTGAAGTAGAAACTGAGATAAATCTGAAAAATACATTTTCTTTGGGAACCGTTTTTCTCACAATGCCCTACATGTATCTTTCTGCTGTGGATTGAGTTAAAAAATATATGTTTTGGTCCTAAACCTTATTTCAAAACTACCATAAAACATTGTCTCAGGCTATCAGGTTTTTTGATGCATATTCCTAACCTTTTCCTGTAAAAGCTGTCTGTGAGGGAGCTTTTAGAGGCATTGATCTCTTCAGACGTCTGCTTCCCATCACAACCGCTCAGAACAATTCAGGCACTGTACGTTCCTCTAGAACAGAGCATTTCACTTCAGATCACTCTGATCGACTTTGTCTAAATCTACAGAAATGCTGAAAAAATGTTTGAATTCCCTTTTAAAGTTAAAATATCCCTCTCTCTCCGTCTGTCTCCATCTCTCTCAGTCATCTCCGAGCTATAATGATTTGTCGGGGAAGGAGGTTCAGCCACGCAGGAAGAGGCGGACCCGAATCCCAGACAAGCCCAACTACTCCCTGAACCTGTGGAGCATCATGAAGAACTGCATCGGCAAAGAGCTCTCCAAAATCCCCATGCCTGTGAGTGCCCCAGTACACTTTCACTGCCCGCTTACAGCGAGGAACAACAGCATGGCTCTGTCTGTAAGACTGTGACCAGAGAGTATCTAGATTCACACGCTGCCAGTAACAAATCCAGTATAAGCCAAGTCAAAGAAATAAGACATGAAAGTCAAAGGAAAATACACTTTATGTCCAAAAGTTTGTAGACACCTGCTGTTTCTTCTGAAATGAAGGGTATTAATAGGGCATTTGTCCCTGTTTGCTGCATTAACAGCCTCTACTCTTCTAAGAAAGCTTTGCACTAGATGTTGGAACATTGCTGTTAGGATTTGATTGCATTCAGCCACAAGAGCATTAGTGAGGTCAGGTACTGATGTTGGATGGTCAGTTCTGGATCAGTCCAACTCATCCCAGAGGTATTGGATGGAGCACCATCACTCCAGAGCACGCGGTTTCACTGCTCTACAGCCCAACGCTGGGGGCTTTATACCCCTCTTGTCCACACTTATAGTGTAACAGTACACAGAAAAAATCAGAGAAGCAACGCAAAACACATGCATGACCTTGTAGTGACTGAGGGGAAAAGTTGATGCTCTGCTCCAGCTGTACACTAAACACTAATACTGTAAGGCATTATGTTATCATGTTACATTCATTCATCCATTTATTCGTGCATTCATTTATTTATTGAGACTGTGTTCAACTTTGGCACTTGTGAATATGCTATAATTATGTGTTCAAAGCCAGTTAAAATAATTCTCTAATATACAATTAAGGCACAGTATGATAATATAAATGCCCGCTGATCACCAGAAACTCAGGACAGGAGTAGACAGTAAACAGGCGTTTCAGAGACTTTAATAGTCAGATAACAGCGGCCTCTAGTGGGTAAAAGGGGAGTCCACAGATAGAGATATAACAATAACAGACTTCTTTCTTTCTTTCTTTCTTTCTTTCTTTCTTTCACCCTCTCACCCTTTCTTTCGCCCTTTTTTCTTTCTTTCTTTCTTTCGCCCTTTCTTTCTTTTACTCTTTCTTTCTTTCACCCTTTCTTTCTTTCACCCTTTCTTTCTTTCTTTCTTTCACCCTCTTGCCCTTTCTTTCGCCCTTTTTTCTTTCTTTTTTCTTTCTTTCTTTCTTTCACCATCTCACCCTTTCTTTCGCCCTTTTTTCTTTCTTTCTTTCTTTCTTTTACTTTTTTCTTTCTTTCACCCTTTCCTTCTTTCGTCCCTTCCTTCTTTCTTTCTTTCGTCCTTTCTTTCTTTCACCATTTCGCCCCTTCTTTCTTTCTTTCTTTCTTTTGCCCTTTCGTCCTGTCCTTCCCTCCCTCCACTTCTCCTCTTCCCTTCTCTTCTTTGTTCCCTTCCTCTGTCCACCATCTCTCTCTCATCCTCTCCTTTTTACTTCGTCATCTCTCTTTCCCTCTCCCTCCCTCTCTCCCTCTCTCTCCTCCCTTCTGCCCTTTATCTACTCCTCTCCACTGTCTCTCTCTCTCTTTTTCTCTCTCTCTCTCTCTCATGCTTGGCTGTCATTCTCTCCCTCTTCCTCTTTCTCTTCTGTCCTTCTCTTCCCTCCTTCTCCCTCACTCTCTCACCCCCCCATGCTCTCACCCCCTGAATCTTTCTCTCTCCATCTGTCTCCCCCTCTCCCTCTCTCCCTCTCTCTCTGTCTCAGGTGAATTTTAATGAGCCTCTCTCGATGCTGCAGCGGTTGACGGAGGATTTGGAGTACAGTGAGTTGCTGGATAAAGCTGCGCGCTGTGAGAATTCTCTGGAGCAGATGTGTTTGGTCGCAGCGTTCTCTGTCTCCTCCTACTCCACCACCGTCCACCGCACAGCCAAACCCTTCAACCCGCTGCTGGGGGAGACATACGAGCTCGACCGGCTAGAGGAGTTTGGCTACCGCTCACTATGTGAACAGGTGGGTTTTTTGATGCATCTGAAGTGGTCATAATGTATATGATGCGGTTTATATGATATTATTAGGCTATTATATTTATAAGCGAACACTTTGCTTATTGTCTACAGGTAAGTCATCATCCTCCAGCTGCTGCCCATCATGTAATGTCACAGCGAGGCTGGACCCTGTGGCAGGAAATCACCATCGCCAGCAAGTTCCGCGGCAAATACCTGTCCATTATGCCGCTGGGTAAGAGCTTCAGCTTCCCCTAAAACACCCTTACGCTTGAGTGTTTCTTCACTGCTTAAGAACAAAACAAAGTTTTAGTAATCATAATTCATTCATAATATTTTCTCTGTCTTTTTCTCTGTTTACTTTTGTCATAATTGCATAATTATATTCTCTATAGGGCCTAAATGCCCCTCCAACAACTTTGCATATTTTATGCTTATACACCAATCAGGCATAACATTATGTCCTTGTTTCTACGCTCGTTGTCCATTTTATCTGCTCCACTTACTATATAGGTGCACTTTGTAGTTCTACAGTTACAGACTGTAGTCCATCTGTTTCTCTGCATACTTTGTTAGCCCCCTTTTACCCTGTTCTTCAGTGGTCAGGACCCCCATGGACCCTCACAGAGCAGGTACTATTTGGGTGGTGGATCATTCTCAGCACTGCAGTAACACTGACGTGGTGGTGGTGTGTTAGTGTGTGTTGCGCTGGTCTGAGTGGATCAGACACAGCATTGCTGCTGGAGTTTTTAAACACCTCAGTGTCACTGCTGGACTGAGAATAGTCCACCAACCAAAAATATCCAGCCAACAGCGTCCTGTGGGCAGCGTCCTGTGACCACTGATGAAGGACTAGAGGATGAGCAACACAAGCTGTGCAGCAGCAGATGAGCTATCGTCTCTGACTTTACATCTACAAGGTGGACCAACAAGGTAGGAGTGTCTAATAGAGTGGACAGTGAGTGGACACAGTGTTCAGACCTGATCGGTGTATCATTGTGTTTAATACCCAGACTTGACCACCAACCCTACACTGGTGGGATTCAGGATTTATTCCTCAACTCTGCTTGAGATCTTACTTGAAATAAAATCACTTGGAGCATTTTAACTTTCTCTTTAGTTGCTGTTTTGGAGATACATGTTTTCTTCGTATGCAAAGTTTTGAACACCCGTGGTCAAATGACATGTTTTGTTGATTTTCTAAGTGAAAAAAATGAACGTATCCTCTACAGGAAACTAATCTGAAGATGGCATTTTTCTGAAAATTCTAGTACTCAATTTCTATTTATTTGCTTTTGGACATGCCACATTTTATGCCTAATGTTTTTTTCCAGTATGTTAAATTCAGAAAATAATTCAGAAAAGTTTAGAAAATCAACAGAATATATAATTTGGCTCAGTGTTTAAACTTTTACATTAATTTCTGAAGAGATGAACTGAACTCTCTATCTCTCTCACAATCTTTTCCCTTACTCTCTTTCTCTCTCTCTCTCTCTCTCTCTCTCTCTCTCTCTCTCTCTCTCTCGTTCTCTCTCTAGGTGCCATCCACCTGCAGTTCCATTCAAGTGGGAACCATTACGTATGGCGAAAGGTGACGTCCACCGTGCACAACATCATCGTGGGCAAGCTATGGATCGACCAGGTCTGCTCTCACTTCTGTCTGACTGACACTGTTCTACTGATACTACTACACTATATGTTCAAAAGTATGTAGGCACCCCTTCTCATTAGTGAATTCAGCTACTTTAAGATGCCTCCATTACTAGCGCAGGTGTTTAATTGTGCACACATAGCTTGTACACCAATGAGCCCTATACATTATGACCACTCAGTGATTGTCTTGTAACAACAGCACATGTCAAAGTCAACAAACAAACAGCCGGTTCTTGTAGTCGATGAGTTTTGGATGTGGGAGAAACTGCCGGCGTGAAGACCTCAGTGATTTTGACAAGCAACTTTGACTTTGCTAAATCGTTTTGCACTGGGTCGGAACTGAAACAGCAAGGCTTGTGGGTGCTCCTGGTCTGCAGTGGTGAGTACCAGTCGACAGTGGTCAGAGCAGGGCCAAACCACAAACCTGCAACAGGATGTTGGACTTCTAAGGCTCATCGCTGCGTGAGGGCAATGACGGCTATCCCGTCTGACCAACAGAAGGGCTTCTGCGGCACAAGGATACACAGTGATGCTCTAGGCAACATTCTGCTGGAAAACTCTGGGTCCAGGCATTTGTGTGGACATCAATTTGATACCCACCTAAACCTTGTTGCGGACCAGGTACCAGGTACACCCCTTCACGGCAGGCATATTCCCCAATGGCAGTGGCCTTTTTCAGCAAGCTAATGTGCCCTGCCACGCTGCATACAGTGTCCAGGAGTGGATTTAGAAACATGATGAAGAGTACAAGGCAAGGTGTTGCCCTGATCTCAGTCCAGTGGAGCATCTGGGATTGGAACATGGGATGTGCTGGAACAACAAGCTGGAACAACAAGCCCAATCCATGGCGGCTCCACCTCACAACTTGACTTGGGTTCTAAAGAATCTGCTGCTACCGTCTCTGTGCTATGTGTGACAGACATCAGGCAGTGAACCAACAGCATATTAGGCAGGTGGCCGTAATATTGTATGCTTGTCAGTGCAAAATCTCCATTGAAATGCACCGACCAACAGAACAGGACGCTCTGAAGCAACTGCACATGAGCCTAAAGTTACTATGCCGAATGCCAACGTTGGACTGTGAAGCAGTGGAACTGCTTTCTCTGGAGTGATGAAGCTCCATCCAGATCCTTTGAGATGAGTTTGAGTGGCATTAGTGATCCAGGACTGATCAGTAAAATCCTCACAACAATGTTCCAACATCTAGTGTAGTCTTCCCAGAAGAGTAGAGGCTGTAACTGTAGCAAAGCGGCACTAAATCCCTAATAATACTCATGATTTCAGACGAAACGTCAGATGAGCAGGCGTCTACAAACTTTTGGACATATAGTGAATGCAACCCCTTAAATTCCAGGCCTGTTATTCAGTTATTAAGCTTATAACCTATTTCTCCTTAATTACTATACATTATTCAGTAGCTGTAACACATTTTTCATTTTTCAACATCAAACTACAAAGTAAGAGCCATTATTATGTATTGTCTTCATTCTATTTCCCATTGATTTTAGAGTTCACTCTCTTTTCTCTCTCTCAGTCGGGGGACATTGATATTGTAAACCACAGAACCAAAGAGACGTGTCAGCTCAAGTTCTCTCCCTATAGCTACTTCTCCAGGGAAGTTCCACGCAAGGTAGTGTCCCCTCTCTGATATTGCCTGTTGGTTTTAAAATGTTCTCAAAGCCAAGTGAACCAATGTGCTTGTGGAAGAATATTCTAGAATTATGGTATATCACACCAGTATTTAAGTATCTGGAAAATTATGGGTCAGTATGCTCTGAACTTTAGATGTGACCTCACCGTAATATGTCTTGGACACAAAACTAGTACAAAACCTGCCTGGGTAGGACATTATAGATGATATAAATATCAAAGACCTCCGCATTCTGCTCTGTTTATTGCTGTTTTGTATCTTCTTTTGTGGCACCCTATTGTGGTGTGGTTACCTAGGTGACAGGTGTGGTGGCGGACAGTGAGGGTCAGGCACACTACATCCTGTCCGGGACGTGGGATGAGAGGATGGAGAGCGCAAAGATTGTCCAGAGCAGCCGGGGCAGTAGTGGAGCAGAGGGCAAGCAGAAGACCGTCTACCAGACTCTGTCACCCAGACTGTTGTGGAAGAAATACCCACTACCGTACGCACAGCACAGCAACGCCATGCACATCAGCAGCATATAACATACGTCAGAGTTTGAAATCATTTTTCAGTCACGTAAAATGCATTTTGTTGCAAGTACATATTACTACCACACGTAACAGGGAGCTAATGCTTTATAGATTTCAAATAATTTGTAGAAAATTGTAAAGAAATTTTAAACATATCCAGAATGATGAGCACTTTCTAAATTGATTAAGAAAGATGTATAACATCAAGAATGAAGTTAAAGTTAATTAGCATCCATTTCTGTTTTTGAAAAGTGGTGGTCAGAATCAGGATAGAGCTTGTAGTTATTATAAATGGATAAGTACAGTCTATTATTTCTCATTTAATAACTTTGTGTTATAGTCAAAAAAACATTTTAATAAAAATATCTTCTAGGCTTTGTTCACACAGCAGGCAAAAGTGGCCCAAATCCAATGTTTTTCTTCATGTGTGACACAGATGTGCGTCTGTGTGTCAGTGTGAACAGCAAAAAACATACTAAATCTGACATTTTTGATTTGAGACGCTCTTATATGTGGTACTGAAATCTGATACGTATCTGATATGTGGCAATGCGACTTTACGTCAATCCAACTCGACATTCATCATTTTTTCTTGATGCTGAGACCTCATAAACGTTTAGACTGCTGTTTCCGTACCAGAAAGTTAGAAGGCACTTATCGCAACCGCTCCGTGATCGAAGAGATTTTATAAGAAATGGCCAAACGTGGCCGTAGGAGAGCGAGGCTGCAGCGTCAAGGAAAAGCCCGAAAGCAAAGTTTAAAGAATCCGAGTACTCGATCCAAAGAAGTGGCCTTGGCTGAATAATCCACCCAGGAGCAAAAATCAGCTTTCACACTTGAAATAAATAATGATTAGACATTTATCGCGGTATGTATCAATATCGAACGATATGAATTTTGTTTATCGTGATAACATTTTTGGCCATATCGCCCAGCTCTATGTGAAAGTAAGTAATAGTATGTCAGTTGATTGAAATCCTTTGAAAAATAGTGTAGATGTCTGTGTTGTATTTCATGAAAGCACTATGAAGTTCATCACTGTATGTTCTCTTCTCTCAGAGAGAACGCTGAAAACATGTATTACTTCTCATCTCTGGCTCTGACGCTGAACGAGGAGGAGGCGGCCGTGAGTTTGACGGACAGCCGGCTGCGGCCGGACCAGCGGCTGATGGAGGAGGGCCGCTGGGATGAGGCCAACACGGAGAAACAAAGGCTGGAGGAGAAGCAGAGGGCCGTCAGGAGGAGGAGAGAGGCAGAAGCCTCCAACGCCACGGACGAAGGTGAGGAATTCATGCGACTTTTACATCAATCCAACTCGACATTCATCATTTTTTCATGCTGTTGAGACCTCATAAACATTTAGGCTGATGTTTCCGTACCAAAAAGTTAGAAAGCACTTATTGCAACCGCTCCGTAATCAAAGAGGTTTTATAAGAAACGGCCGAACGTGTTCACGTGCAAAGATTTTTGCCAATCCGATTGAATACATTCTGATTATAGATGAAGACTGAGGTGTTTATTTGCTCACTCTACTCAACAATCTGATGGAAAATCTCCGTTTGCATGCTCACTATAAGAAATCAGATCCAAAATTATGTGCATGCGTAGAGAACCGCTTAGTGTAGACGTTACCATGTCAACGAGCATCACGTGAGTCCAGTCAGAGCAAGACAAGCAACAGTGTGTTACCTGAGTTTTCAAATTGTCATGTTCTGGCGTCAGGCCCACTGGCGCCATTTAAAGTTCGCTGTGACGTGACGCACATACTTAAACTTTCCGATTGGGAACGTAATCAGATACAGGTGTCTACACGGTTATTATTATTACACGGTTATTACATGTTTAATGGATTATTTGCAGGATTACCCACCTCATTCAATTGGATAACGATTGCATTCCGAATGGCCTCAGTTGGACTAGTCTATCCCGATTGAGGTGTAAACGTGGAGGTATTCTATTCCGACTGAGCTAGTAGTCAGATTATTAAGAAATTGTCGGGCTGCATGTAAACGTGGCTACTGTGGTAGAGTGTTGGTAGCCCAGTAAAGAACTAGTTACCAGTTGATGGTTTCTGCCACTCTACCCTTGACCCAGGTAAGTGATTTTGGGCAAAAGCTGTCTGGTCTTCTTGACCTTTCCATCTCCAGATTGTGCCCATTAATGTGAGTGAGGTTTTCAGTGTACAACTATGTGTAGAAGTAATCATTTGGGTGATGCTTTACTTGGATAGTCCACTGTTGATGGTTTCTAGACATGGCACTGACTACCTCAGTATTGACCAACTGGTTCTTCAGCTACCATCACATCACTTTCCTCAATGCTACTGTAACCTAAACCTGTCACTAACCCAAAGTCTAGTCCTAATCTCAGCCATAACACAAACCTTACATTTTATTCTAACCTTAACTCTGACATTATTTCTTATATTGACTCTAATTACAGCACTAAACCTAATCCTGAATCAGACTCTAACATGCTGGTGCCCAAATCTACCCCTGATCTTATAGTTACAGAGTCTGCTCTTATAGTTGAGACAGCTCGGCTGATACATTTTCAAGCTTTATTGGTCAATCTGCCTTGCTAGAGTAGAGACAGCTAAACTGCAGCCCTGCAAGACTTGCAGAGCTTTTATCTAGCCTGAACGTTTGGTCACCACCTGAGTATAACCCAAGAACATTCTGTCCAAGCCCAAGCTGACCCACAGCATAAGCTATTGAATCTGAACATTGGACCTCATTCACCAGTCGTTCTTACAAAGAAGTTGCCTACTTAAGCAGTTTTCACTAAGATTCTGAGATTCACCACTGTTTTCTTATTTGGGATTTGTTTTTAGGTAAGAATAGAATCTACACACACTCAGGAGCACAAAGGTTTAAGGACATATCATGAATGTGGCGTAGGCTTTTTCTTACACTTTAAAAAAAGAAGGTTCTTCAAGCGTTCTTAAGTGAAGAAAATGGTTCTATATAGAACCATGAACACTCAAAGAACCCTTTATATGACTAAAGGGTTATTTAAGATGAGATAATCCTTTATTAGTCCCACAACGGGGAAATTCTCAGTGTTACAACAGCAAAGTGTGAGCAAGGCACTCAAGACTGCGTTATAGATGCTTTTATATAGAACCCTTTTTGAAAAGGGTTCTGTATAGCATAAAAAGGGGTTCCACTTTTGTAACAAGCCAAAAACTTTTTTTGGTACTATATAGAACCCTTTTGCCAAGATTGTAGGACCTTTTAAGGAACAAATTTAAGAAAAAGCTTAAGGTATTGGTGAATGAGGCCCAGTGTTTCTTTCCTCTGGGAATACTCGCCATGTGATGCCCAAACGTGACCGAACCTCACATGAAAGGCCGCATACTGTGACGTTCAGACAAATATTTTAAACCATAAACACAAGGTCTAGGCACTTATGTCATAACCCATAAAGTAGTTTTGTTAAGGGACACTCTGGGCAAAATGAAAGCTACATTTGTTGTAAACATGTTTAACCCTTGTGTGGTGTTGAGGTCTGTAGGACCCATTTTCAATGTTTACCAGAAAAAAAATGATGCGATTCATTATTATTATTTCAACCCCAGGTTCCTTGGTCTCATTTTCTGTGAAGAACATATAAAATAACCCATTTTCAGTGACTTCACACTGTTGGGGACTTCACATATGTTGTTGGGCTGAACCCGCGGGGACTAAAAGTGTGGAGATGCTGTGTTCTTCACTCTGTTCTCCTCCTACATGGCCTGCTGTTAGTGTGTGTGTGTGTGTGTCTGTGTGTTTGTGTCTGTGTGTGTGTGTGTGTGTGTGTGTGTGTGTGTGTGTGAGGGTGGACAACATGGACAGGCTGCTGACTGGCTACAGCTGCTAAAGGAGAACCCTACGCTGGCCACTTGCGATATTTTAAACATCTGGTATTTTTACATAAATTGTTATGGCTGTATTGATTTAAAAAGACAATAATACAGTGGGTCCACCAGACCACTGAGTAACAAACACATCAACACCACACAAGGGTTAATTGCATCCTACAGTAGTCCTGCCGTAGTCTGTAGAGCCCAGTCCTGGTTCTGGAGGTGTACCACCCTGCAGAGTTTAGCTCCTTAATCTAACATACCTGACCCAGGTGATGAAGGCCTTCAGGGCATCTAAACATCAGAGCCAGGCATGTTGGGTATGAACTCTTCAGGGTGGTAGATCTCCAGGAGCAGGATGGGGCACCCCTGCTCTAGAATGAGATTTTCAGTTTAAAAGACCCTCTTTCGATGATCTTCAAGGTTGGGGAACTTTTTTAAAAACTACAACTTTCGTGCATGTCTCTGACTGAAAGTGAAAGCATCAATTGTGTGTTATATTAGGTTATATTTTTAAACCTATAAATATTTTTAATGTTTATGAACCTATAGATCAACGGATCACCATTTCTAGAATTATGTATTTTCATAATGTCTGCTGGGTTTTGTAGTGTGAAAATATGAACGAGAAAATGAAAACTATATACGATTGTGTATTCTGTCAAACCACTGAGGCAGAGAGAAATAATGCTGTACTACAAAACTACTACATAACACAACAAATAACATTTTAAACTTTAGTTTTAGGCTGGAATGCCGCTCTAGCAACCTGTGTCCATATAGGACTATCTACAGGGGAGCATCCAAAAGAGACCTCTTCATCTTGTGCCATTGACAGTTATGATCACGTGACATGTGTCTCTTTTCTCTCCCTGATTGCCAGAGTTTGAGGTTGACTCTGAGTCTGGTATGAGCCTGCTTGGAAACTCTCCGTCTTTTCACCCCACTGTCTGTGTTTGTTGTGTCCACAATTTGCAGATCCAAAAGTGATCTGTAATGGCAGTTTCATTATGTGCTCAGTCTGCTACCAGCTTGTGTGGACACGCATGTGTTTGCAGATCCAATGCTAATTATTCTCTGGGAAAACGCTCACGCTGCTCACTGCTGCTGTCACTCATACACATGTGTCAGTCAAATACAGAACATTTACATACCGATCAGCTGTATTTGACTCAGCACTGACTGAGACTGTGATAATGAGATTGGAGTTCTTCACAGCACACATGCACACTCCACTTGCAGGTTCCCACTGCCTGCAGTGCTATAACAGCCTATAAAATTGAGTCTTAGGCTTGTATATGAGTAAAAACCCATTCTTCAAGCTACACATGTACTGCACACATGTAATGGCGATATTCTTCAAACGACAAAAGATCTCAACAAAATTGAAGAACTGCCAAACACTTTTGTAAGTAAACTTAGAAGTAACTCACTGAGGAGGTCTCAGAACAAACAACAGAGTGATTAGGACCAATCACAGTCAGGGGTAGGTCTCAGAACAAACAACAGAGTGATTAGGACCAATCACAGTCAGGGGTAGGTCTCAGAACAAAGAATACAGTGATTAGAACCAATCACAGTCAGGGGGAGGTCTCAGAACAAAGAATACAGTGATTAGAACCAATCACAGTCAGGGGGAGGTCTCAGAACAAACAATACAGTGATTAGAACCAATCACAGTCAGGGGGAGGTCTCAGAACCAACAAGATGGAGATTAGGACCAATCACAGTCAGCAGGAAGTCTTAGAACAAACAACACAGTGGTTAGGATCAGTGCCAGACAGTCACAGCCTGTTATTGGCAGGAGGAGGACTCAGAACAAACAACACATTGATTTGGACCAATCACATTTAGGGGGGACCCAGAACAAACAACACAGTGATTAGGACCAATCAGTCAGGGCAGGTTTTAGGACAAAGAAGGCAGTGCTTAGGACCAATCACAGTCATGGGAAGGTCTCAGAACAAACAAGGTGGAGATTAGGACCAATCACAGTCAGGGGGAGGTCTCGGAACAAACAACACAGTGATTAGGACCAATCACAGCTAGGGGGAGGTCTCAGAACGAACAACAAAGTGATTAGGACTAATCACAGTCAGAGGGAGGTCTTGGCACAAACAACACAGTGATTAGGACCAATCACAGTCAGGGGGAGGTCTCGTAATAAATTCCGCAGTGATTAGGACCAATCACAGTCAGGGGGAGGTCTCGTAATAAATTCCGCAGTAATTAGGACCAATCACAGTCAGGGGGAGGTCTCAAAACAAACAACACAGTGATTAGGACCGATCACAGTCAGGGGGAGGTCTCAGGACAAACAAGGCAATAATTAGGACCAATTGCAGTCAGGGGGAGGTCTCAGGACAAACAAGGTGGAGATTAGGACCGATCACAGTCAGAACGAGGTCTTGGAACAAACAAGAACAAACAACACAGTGATTAGGACAAATCATAGTCAGGGGGAGGTCTCAGAAGATCAACACAGTGATTAGGACCAATCACAGTCAGGAGGAGGTCTCAGAACCAGCACCACGGTGATTAGGAGTTCTGTTTAGCTGCTGGTTCACACTGCACCACATAAACTCGAACCACTACGCTGTTTTGGCCAAAAAGATGTTTTGTTTCATTTGAAGTACCGCAGGCTTCAGATTTATTTCTGCAGATTTTAATGTTTTCCCTGAGTTAAGGCTATAAACCCAGCTTCCCCATGTCACAACTGTAGTCTATCATCCATGAGATGTTTGGAGTCTGAAGTTTACTTTTTCAGTTTTGCTTGAGAGCTGGAGTTTTGAAATATGTTACATGGCAGCTAGTAGTTGCAATATCAGCCATCTTGAAGGCTGAATTTTGGTTCGTAGCTTTTATTTTAAACAGACCTTTCCAAGTCACTTTTCATTTGCCAAAGTATACTTTGGTGTTTTTCAGCTCGTTATCAGTTCAGCCAGATTTCAGGCTGTTAGATCACAAGGACTCACTGCAAACAATGGCACCTTGCCAAGTGAAATTATCTTAAATTTCGTTGACATGCCTAATGTTTCTGACTTTGAGGTTGTTGTAAACTTACTGTAAGATTATTTTACTTATTTGCAGACATAAGTCAAATAATCTTGTAATCTTATTTTTTACTTGTTGTAAGTGATTTCATTAAATCGAACGATCTACTATAAAACTATCGACAGATAATTTTGCTTGTTGTAAGAAATAGACTTGAAACAAGCAAACTTATACCAACAGTGAGATAATTTTACTTACTAAAATCTTTTAAATTTACTTAAAACAAGTAAAAAAATGTCAAGAAATAAGTTCTATAATCTTACAGTACAAATGCAGTTAGCATGATGCTAACTTTAGCCTCATAGCTCCGGACAAAAATAAAGAAACAAACTTCAGACTCCAAACATGTCTTGGCTACATTTGTTGTCCATTTGTATAGGTAACCATATGTCATATAGTGTTAGGAACCATGTAAGCAAGAAATTTGAGATTATTTAACAACTCAGAATGATTTGAGGCGAGTGTGTGGTGATTTAGGGTGCAGTTAGCACAATGCTAATTGGTTGCATATAAGCTTGTATTCCTGATTAGCTACATTGGCCTTGTAGCTCTGTCGTAAAACTAGAGAAGCAAACTTCAGACACCAAAAGTCTACATTTTGTCTCTACTTTTGTCCCTGTTTATAGATAACAGTGTCATACAGTGACAGAAAGCACATAAGCCAGTCTATTTAAGATTACTTAACAGCTCAACATGCTTTGAGGCAAGTGAGTTAGGCGTACAGTTAGCACAACGCTAACTGGTTGCGTGTAAGCTTCTATTACTTGTTAGCTATGATAGCCTTGTAGCTATAGTGCAAATCCAAAGAAGCAAATATCAGACACCAAGCAGTACGGTAAAGAGAGAACTGTGTAAATTAGATTTTTCACTTTAATTTTTATATGACTAATTATGAAACCTTTCATGAGTTGAATTAGCTTTGTCAGACTAGCGTAAACACTAAACTCTGCAATGTTGTGGACCCCTGAGTACGATGGCGTTTAAGAGCCGCTGTTAATAAAAATAAAAATAGTAGACTTCGAGAATAAAGTCGTAATATTTCGAGAAAAAAATTTGTACTATTTCAAGAATAAAGTAATATTTTGAGAAAAAAGTTGTAATATTTCAAGAAAAAAGTCGTAATATTTGAAGGATAAAGTGGGCTAGCTGTAGGGGGGCTAACTGCAGGGGGGCTGCCATAATGCGTTGGGGTCTTGGTTGCTGTACTGGTGCCGGAGCTCCACTCACTCCTGTCTCTCTGTGGATCATTTTGATCATCATTCTCACTGTCTGTGAAACTTCATGCCCTCTTTGAATGGGGGGAGATGTAGCCCCCGATAGCCGTGTAGACGACCCTGTCTACAGTTCTCCTTCAACAACACAGACAGACAGTTTCCTCCGAGTCCGTCTGGCTCTTTATTCTAGATAAACACAGTTTCCTGCTCAGCCGTTTCAGCCGTTTCTTATACTAATAAGAGGCTGGTGCTGATGTGCAAGAGAGACAGGGAGACTGAGAGTTTCTTTATGGGTGAATCGATATGAAAGTATAACTCCACCAACTCAGCGCCCCTCATTTTAACATGAGGAGAGGCTGCCTTCCCTTTGCAAAGCCTTTGGCCACAATATTACGACTTTTTTCTCGAAATAGTACGACTTTATTCTCGAAGTCTGCTATTTTTATTTTTATTAACAGTGGCCCTAAAACGCCGTCGTACCTGAGGCCCTGAGATTTCTTTACACTGTGGCTGAATGCTAATCTTATGTTTCTTTGTGTATGTTCTGTTGCAGGTCGGGAGTATGAGGGCTACCAGCCGCTGTGGTTCCATCAGAGGATGGACCCTCTGACTGGAGAGACGAGTTTTGTGTATAAAGGAGGTTACTGGGAGGCCAAAGAGAGGCAGGACTGGAGTATGTGTCCGGACATTTTCTGAAACACTTTTACCGAACTGAGAGAGAAAAACAGACAGAATGGAGGACGGGAAAGAAGGAAGACCGTCAGGACTGACTGACGAAGGCCCAGGAGCTTGACTCCCGCCTCAGGAGGCCACAGCACCCAGGGCTGTGTGGAACTCTGAGTGTGTGAGTGGACGTGTGCGTGTGTGTGTGTGTGTATTTGCACTTTCCACACAGGCAAAAATATCACAGATCACCACACAGACTCACGTTATGAAGGGACATGGAGAGAGTGGGACGTCTGAGCCGCACCACCTCTCCAAACGTTCACCTGAAAGCAGTGTGTGTGTGTGGGTGTGTGTTTGCAAGCGAGAAGAAGGGGAGGTTAACTGTATTGCCAAGTGCTTGGCCCCCTTGATTGCTTCCAAACCAAATCAGGTGCTCTTTATTCAGAAACACCTTCTCCTCTCTCTCTGTGTCTCTCACTCACTGTCTCCCTCCCTCTCTTCTCACTGGAAGACACAGGAGGAGCTTGAAGAAGAAGGAGATTGCACAGATGCATTATTTAGAAGAGAACATTAAAATGTGCACAGTTTATTCTGCCTCATCTAGGCTTTCGCTCCATCCTTAGGAAGTGCGTATCAATACATAGCAGCATATCTTTTTAATGCAATTTGCATATCCCAGAGAGCGATAGAACAGGTACACTGAAAAAAAAAGTATTTATTTAATATTCTTGATTGGAAATGTGTTCATCATTTCCACATACAGCACTGTGCAAAACTCAGAGACCACCCTCTCATTTATTTATTTATATACACCGATCAGGCATAACATTATGACCAGTGTCCTTGTTTCTATGCTCGTTGTCCATTTTATCAGCTCCACTTACTATATAGGTGCACTTTGTAGTTCTACAGTTACAGACTGTAGTCCATCTGTTTCTCTGCATACTTTGTTAGCCCCCTTTTACCCTGTTCTTCAGTGGTCAGGACCCCCATGGACCCTCACAGAGCAGGTACTATTTGGGTGGTGGATCATTCTCAGCACTGCAGTAACGCTGACGTGGTGGTGGTGTGTTAGGTTGTGTTGCGCTGGTCTGTGACAGACTGTGTCTGATCCACTCATACCAGCACAACACACACTAACACACCACCACCACGTCAGCGTTACTGCAGTGCTGAGAACGATCCACGAAATGTACTTAATGGCCATTTTGTGTGGAAATTAAATGAATGATGGGTGCTTTCAGGCTTTGGTACAGTGCTCTAAAAATAAATTACAAACACACCATTATTATTAATTCAACTGAAAGACAAAATTGTGCTGATGTAATATTTCATTCATGTGGAAATGATTTACACGTTTGAATCAAGTGAGTTCAAAGCATTCTCTTTAGTGTTTTTTTCACTGGATACTCAGCCACCTCCACACAGATCAGCTTAATTTAACCAGACTCTGAGCAACTATTGGATCCTTCAGGTCGGCATCAGGTGTTCTAATCCTCAAACATTAATCTCTAAAAAGGAATAAGAATTAGTCTGTTTGTTCCCACCCTAATAAGTCTGCTCTACTCAAAATTTTACTCAAAATGTCTCATGATTGTCCCCAGACGTTTTTGTTTCCGAGATCACGTCTGGCCCTGCATCGAGATCATCTCATTGTAAGAAAGTTAGGCAGCTTTTCAACCTAAAAGAGTACGTTAACCACCTTGGCTTGAAATTTCGAGTTCCCTGAACTTGTAAAAGCAAGTTAACAAAAGACTAATTTGTGTTTCACATTGCAATGAACTTAGCTTTTCAAGTTAACCCAGTGACTCACTTTTTTAAGTTTAAAAGCTGCTTAATTTTTACAGAGCTGAACGGTGAATTAAACTCAAATTTACTCAAACATTTTTCAACCTAATCTCTATCTGCTGTATCTGTAGCATAGTAATAATTTCCTTGTACTTAAGTCAGGACAGAAAAGCCGTTGATTCGAATCAGACATTTATTTTCGAGCCAATGGGAATGTGTTTCAGCAGCTACCCCCTGGCTTCAACTAGCTTTCTGAGCTTTTAATAAATTCAGTGAAATGCATAAAAATAACTGTCTGTTGTCACTGACTGCAAACTACAGATGCAGCAGAAACTGCTGTGCGTTCATTTAAGAGCAGAAAAAGCACCACCAGGAGGCACTAGAGTGACCGTACCCTACTGAAGAACTGAAAGCAGCAAATTGGCTTCCTGATCTTTTTGTAAAATAAGAGTCCTATGGGAACTCAATATGAAAGCTTTTATCAGGTTGAATATGATTTCTCACTGCATTCTGCAAAGCTAGTCCAACGTAGCAACAGTTGCTACCAAGAAATGCAATTGTTGGCGCAGCATGGAGAGGTCAGCTCATATCAGATGGCCACCAGACTCAAATAGAGTTTTTAAAAAAGCATCTTAGAGCCAAACGTAGTTAATGAGACCTTTGTGTCTCAGTTTTGAAAAAAAAGGGAGACAATAAAAGCTGATTAGTTTGATAACCTCACGTTTCTCAGTATTGACTGGCTGAAACAAACACTTCTCCGTTCCTGTGTCTTAAGCAGGTTGGTAAAGTCTGCGGTCTCTGCAAACGGTACAGCGCACGACTTTACTGACCTTCGAGTGTGAGTTGTGTTTCCTAATTGCTGTTAAGAATGTAGACTTTAGGCCGCAGGTATGCTGTTGTACCTGTCTGGACTCATGTGTGACTATTTTGTGATAACAAAAAGAAGATAATAAGATAAATAGTATGATCATAATTACACGAAGAGACGAGTAAATAATAATAATAATGCTAATTAAGTAATGATGCTGTGTTTTTTTTTGGGTCAAGTCTGGAGTTTTAAGGAACATAACAGAACCATTTACTGTAAATGTGTCTTATAATCTGATCTAGCTAGGCAGAAGTTTTAATTTTTCGGACAAGCTTCCGTGGTTTGATTTGAAATTTTAATATTTTGTATTAAAGGAGATTTGCTCACACGACGGGAGGTTCTCTTTTATTATACCTGTTTAATGTATGATGGTGATTTGCATGGTGCATTTGAAGAGGGTGTGAAGGGGTGGGATTTATGGACGTGATGGTGATTCAAGTCATGGAGATCCACAGCACTGAATGAAGAGCATGGGAATCAGCTGGTGAGTTGAATCTGGGATGTTAATTCAGACAGAGCGTTAAAGGGGCAGTATCACAGAAAATCAAATTTTCCTTGAGATGTTTGAAATACTGTAAGCATTGTTTCAAAATGTGACATTCACTCTTTAGTCCATACAGTCTGTATAGGATAGTCCAGGGATAGTCCAGTTCAGATGCTTTGTAGATACTTAATTTACTTTCAAGTTACGTTCAACTAAATATCTAAATTTACTATAATTACCTTTAACTCTAAACCTGCTCTAATCCTAACCCTAACCTTAACCTCAACCCAAAACCTAAATCCAGCCCTCACCCCGGTCCTAGTCCTAGCCCTGGTCCAAATCCTCACCCTAACCACACCACTGTTTAGAATCAACTGGGTTTAACAGATAGTTTGTTAGCAATTTGAACATCTGTAGATACTCTATAGGGGACTGTAGTGGACAATCTAAATAAAGTGAGACATTATGTTTTTGTGATGTCACAAAAGTGACATCCCTAACTTTAACCTCAACTCAAAACCTAAGCTCAACCCTCACCCTGGTTCTAGTTCTAACCCTGGTCCAAATCCTGACCCTAACCCCACCACTGCTTAGAGTCAACTGGGTTTAACAGATAGTTTGTTAGCAATTTGAACGTCTGTAGATAATCTATAGGGGACTATAGTGGACAATCCAAATAAAGTGAGACCCATTGTTTTTGTGATGTCACAAAAATGAACATCCACCTATTAAGTCCTACAGCAGTTTAGCCCCACCCTCTCACACTGAAGATATAAGGAGTGTTTCAACCCAGACTACTTTTTGAGTGAGGCACTATACAGCACAGACAATCAGAACAGAGGTCATTTACATGTGTCAGTCTTAAAGGCACAGTAACAAAAACAACCTGTTTAATTATGAACGTTTTTGATATTTAAACAAATTTAATACAAGAAAATAGGATATGGGCCCTTTAATATGGCAGTGTAGACACATTCGCATGCAGTTAAGATAAGGGAGTCTAGGCCTTGATGGACAGGAGACGGTGCCCAGGAAACAACAACTTAAAAGCCAAAACCATTTATTTTTCTAGTAGATTCAAGAGTTTTATTGTCATATGCACAGCAGAAACAGGCAGTTACACTGTACAATGAAATTCTTACTTTGCTGTTCCTCCATTCACCAATATAGTCTTAGAAAAAAAAAAATTGCAGAGGTGTAAGTAACGAATTACATTTACTCTCGTTACTGTAATTGAGTACAGTTCTCCCTGTAACGGTACTTTTTGGAGTATAATTAAATCATAGTACTTTTACTCTTACTTGAGTTAATTTTTCTTCGCTAATTTTTCTTCGTTAACTTCGCTACTTTAATTTTCTTAACGTTACAGAGTAAAAATAAATTACAACCGTATCAGCTTAGAAACCAATACGAACGAAGGGCGGTTAAATTTAAAAGATCCACTAATCAAAAAACAGCAGCTCTGGCAGGAAAAACACTACAGAGATGTCCAGTTTAGTGAAGAAGGAGAGAGGAGAACTGAACCAGCACACAGGAGTACCGTGTTTACGGGTTTCTTCTTTCTTTTATAATGATTCTGTTTATTACACTGGAAATCTGCTGCGTATATTTTATTACAGTGCCTGTCAGACACTTTAGTGAACAGGTGTCGCCCACAGCCCACACTTTACCCGATTATACAGCCCAGTTTAGCTGCTGTTTGGAGATAAATGGTCGTTTACGGCTGTGAGACAAGAAATCTCTCTCTCTGCCTCTCAATCTCTCTCTCTCTCTCTCTCTGCCGTGGTGTTTGTCCTTAACTGTGAGACTCTGTGTAGCTGTTTAACTGTTCAATGCAGTAATAATGTCTGATTACTGTATGAAGTGATCAGCATGATTAGTGAAATATATTACAGTAAAAATCAAAGCTGGGTAATTTGCTGATGTTGCCGCTGATTTTAATGGTGTAAATGTTCAGAACAGATATCAGTGAAAATATACAGTTTGAAGGCGGTGAGAGGTTCACATGTATTAACGTAAGCTTAAGGACTCTCACTAAAATTACATTATTAATTAAGCAATTTACTCATAATTTTGACTTTTTTTTTACTTAATTAAACAGTAACATCCTCTGCTTGTCTTTCAGGGATTCTAAAATACTTGACTGGAAACAGATAAACCAGGACGTCTTATGTAATCATCTAACCATGAAACGCATGCAGTGTAATGTGAACATTGTTCCTTACACAGCTCACAGAAAGGTGTGTAACTGTGCTCTAGCAGAGCGAACTGTGATCAGTCTCAGCTCTCAGAACTCTAGCTTTAGTGTTTTTCTGTACAGGTTATTTCCAGTGATGTAGCCGAGTCAGCTCAGAAATATGTTCAGGTTGTGACAGCGGAAATACGGAAAAGTAACTAAATAACTCAGTACTTAAGTAGTTTTTCAACAAACTACTTATTTACTCTTACTCGAGTAATTTTATTTAATAATACTTTTACTTGTACTTGAGTAATTTATCATTACAGTAACAGTACTTGTACTTGAGTAGGGGTTTTCAGTACTCTTTACACCTCTGGTAAGGAGCAGTTCTTGAGTGCAAAGTCAGTTAAACCAGTTCAGAGTGGGAGGGGGGAAGAGGTAGTGAGTGATCTGTTCACAAGCCTGATGGCCTGTGAATAGAAACTGTTCGTCAGTCTTGTAGTCCTGGACTTCACACTCCTGTAGCGTCTGCCTGATGGTTGGAGTGTGAAGGGTCTGTGCTGGGGGTGCGTACTGTCCCTGATTATGCTGTGGGCCCTCCTGATGAACCCTGGTGTGATAAATGTCCTGTAGTGAGGGGAAGACTGCTCCTGAGATGGACTGTGCAGTTTTGATCTCACGCTGGAGAGCCTTTCTGTCCTGAGCAGTGCAGTATCCATACCGGACCGTGATGGAGCTGGTAAGAACACTCTCGATCGTACTCCTGTAGAAGGTGCTGAGAATTTTGCCTGGCAAGCCAAATTTCCTCAGCCTTCTCAGAAAGCACAGTCGCTGCTGGGACTGAGGTATATGTTGTGAGACCAGGTGAGATCCTCACTGACGTGAACGCCGAGGAATTTGAAGGTCTTCACCCTCTCCACCCCGGTCTCACCTATGTACAGGTACTCCACTACGCTAACAGAAAACACAATGAAGCAAAACCTACACATTTTGTTACATATGCAACAAGTGCATCTGCCTGCTGACCTAATGTGTATACGCAAAGAGGCGGCCTGCAGGGGAACAGGTGCTCCAGTCTGACGTGTTCGATTAATTAAAAAGCCCTTAACACTGTTAAAGTTTCGAAATGTCCCATTCCAGTCTACACAGCTCATATATGGAAAGTAAGGAGCGAAGTCCATTTTGAATGTGATGTGTTTGCTGAGTTTAACACAAAAAAAATCAACATAAAATACAAAATATCCCAGGACTTTTACACCGACCACATTTTATGTTTGATTTATTTTTGGCAAATAAATCAGCAAATAAACAGTAAACATGCTCTGTAGAGGATGTGCTCAGAGAAGTCAAGTAGAAGTTTATTTATATAGCGTTTTTTACAACAGGCGTCACAAAGGAGCTTTAAAGAAAAATCCAGGTCCGAGCCCCCATGAGCGTCGCCAAAGGGGACAGTGATAAGAAAAAACCCCTAAGAGCGAAGGGAGAAACCTTGAGAGGAACCAGGGCGGCGTTCACATTACCAGGTTGAAGTGGCACAAATCCGATTTTTTTTGCCCTAATGTGACTCAGATCTGATGTTTTCAGGGCTGTGTGGACACGCAAATCTGATCTTTTCAAATCCGACCTGGACCACTTTAATATGTGTTCCTAGATCGGATACGCATCCGATTTGTGGCCATGTGACCTTAATGTGGCGCTCAGATCGGAATTCATATGCATATCCATCATTCAGCGTGACGCACGTGATCATTCACGTGACGTTACTGAGTAGGATGTGCGCATGCGGGTCGTTTCAGGACGCCGGTTCGTTCACAATAATGACAGATTTGAATCACAAATGCTACGTTCACACTACAAGCCTCATTGCTGAAATCCGATTTTTTTTGCTGAAATCCGATCTCTCCTTGACGTGATGGTTCACACTGGTTTGGGTAGGTGATTCAAATCTGTCATTTTAGGTTGCTGCCATGGTGTCGCTCTTAATGTGAGTTACTGTAAAGAGATTTTATGAAAGTGATGATATTTGTGAAGTATTTCTATTGGTCCATAAACACTTTCTGTGCTCCAATGATAATGAAATGGATACATACCTCTGAGACCGTGGGGCCCTGACCATTTAAGGGGGTAACATTTTTTATGGTTGATGATCCTGAAACAGTTTAGAAAGAGAAAGGTGGAAAATGCTCAGCAGTACTGCTGAGCTTCTGAGAGGTACGGAGCCCCTAAGGTGACATGGTGATAATTTTTTTAATAAGGCGTACCCACAAATAATATATCGAGGCCACAACTCGAGTTCCCTCCTACCTATATAGTGTGCTGTGTAAGTTATTAAATTCTGTCTTCACAGCCTTAATTAAGTAATTTGTGGCCTCAATATATTAATTTGTGGCCTCAGTATATTAATTTGTACACTCAATATTTTAATTTATGGCAACTATATGTTAATTTGTGGCCTCAGTATAGTAATTTGTGCCCTCAATATTTTAATTTATGGCAACTATATGTTAATTTGTGGTCTCAATATCTTAATTTGTGGTCTAATATAGTAATTTGTGGCCTCAATATTTTAATTTGCGTACTCAACATAACAATTTGTGGCCTCAATATATTAATTTGCGGACTCAGTGTATTAATTTGCGGTCTGAATATATTAATTTGTGGCCTCAGTATAGTAATTTGTGGTCTCAATATATTAATTTGTGGCCTCATTATAGTAAATTGTGGCATCAATATATTAATTTGTGACCCCAGTATAGAAATTTGTGGCCACAGTATATTAATTTGCAAACTCAATGTATTAATTTGTGGCCTCAGTATAGTAATTTGTGGCCTCAGTATAGTAATTTGTGGCCTCGATATTTTAATTTATGACAACTATATATTAATTTGTGGTCTCAATATCTTAATTTGTGGCCTTAATATAGTAATTTGTGGCCTCAATATATTAATTTGTGTACTCAATATAATAACTTGTGGCGTCATTATAGTAATTTGTGGCCTCAATATATTAATTTGCGGAATCAATATATTAATTCGTGCCCTCAGTGTATTAATTTGTGGCCTCAATATATTCATTTGTGGCCTCGATATATTAATTTGTGGACTCGATATAGTAATTTGTGATCTCAGTCATTCATTTGTGGCCACAGTGTGTTAATCTGTGGCCTGAATATAGTAATTAGCGGACTCAATATATTTATTTGTGGCCTCAATATAGTAATCTGTGGCCACGCCTTATTAAAAATAATCACCATGTGACTTTAGGGGCTCCGTAAAGAGGCATGTGAACATGTGACTGTTTGAAACGGGCTGTTGGCGGGAAGCGTCCGTTGCTAGGAGCTCCGGTTGCTAAGCGCTCGGCTGAGCTCCGGTCAGTTTCTGTGCAGTTCTCTCTCAGGCGGGACCGAAGCGGCTCAGAGACAAACGGTGAGTAAAACCAGTCAGCTGTGTTTACTGAGCTTATATAACATACATTCGCATAAGCTTCAGTTCCAGCTGTGCTGAGGCTGAACTGGGCGACGAGAACTTTCTGAGATAAAAAGTCGAGGTTTTTAAGCTTAATGGCGGTGTGTCGGTCTGTTCTAGAAAAAGACCTTAAAGGGGAATTCCACCGATTTCTCAAAATTTCTCCATTAATTCAGTGGTTAACTCTGAACAAGGACATTCAGAGGGATTTGGTGAGAAATAATTTGTAGAGAAACTTACTCAGATATACTTTACAGTGGTGGTGATAGGAACTAAAGGTTCCAGTGTTCAACAACACAAATATAGACATTTTATTTACTATCCAAAACCACCAGGGAGCCTATAATCTATGTGTCTTCTACGTTTTATATGTTGGTGATGGTAAAATAGTGAACAATTTGAAAAAAATACGTTTTCTTTGGGGACTATTTTGCCTTACAACATCCTTTGTGTATCCCTCCACCATGAATGGATTAAAATTCATTGATTAAATTACGTTTTAGACCAAAACCTTATCACAAAACTGTCATAAAACAATGTCTCAGATATCAGGCAGCATATTCATAACCATTCCATATAAGTTAATACATTTCTGTGAGGAAGATTTTAGAGCAGACGTCTGGTTCCTATCACCACCACTGTGAACAGTTTCACACCAAACCACTCTGAATTACTTTACTGACATGTTAACCATTTAATTATGCATACATTTTGCAAAATCGGTGAAGTTCCCCTTTGAATGCATTGTCCAGAAGTGTCTTTAGTCTGGAAAGTGAAAACAGCAGTGCAGAGTTCTCAGACATTTTTGGAGAAGTTCAAGTTAATGGAAGAGGAATTTATGGTCCTCTTTTGTCTCCTGAAGCCTGCGGTGTTTGCTAGTTTGACTCCTGATCTCTGGGCAACAGAGCCAACAGCAGCTCCCCCACCAAACCGGCTTCATTAGCTGAACAACAGAGGTTAAAGGGCAGTTCCACAGAATTTTCAAAATCTCTGCATCATTCAACCATTGAGGTACAAACAGTAAACAGAGGCTTTCAGAGTGGTTTGATAAGAAACAGAGAAATAGTGCATTGTAGAGAAATGATTTACTTAGAAAAAAGTCACATTGACTTACATTCAAAATATGTTTTTTCCTTCTCCTGGAAAGTTACCATTTCCGAGCAATATATACATATATATATACATATATATATATATATATATATATATATGTATATATATATATATATATATATATATATATTTATATACACTCTATATTTCGCTGCTGTCGGAACAAAACCTTGTATCTCCATTTTTGTCAGTTTCTCCGTTTTTCAGTTTTTGACATAATTTGAAAATTCTTGTTGCTCTTTACATTGTGTTTAAATTTTATGATGGATGGACCAAAAGAAACGGCCCAAAATTACTTGGAAAAAAGTCTGGTTCCATTGACTTACAATAAAAGTAAGGTATGTTTTTTCCTTCTCCTGTAAAGTTATCATTTTGGAGATACAAGGTTTTGTTCCGACAGCAGCGATATGCAATGTTATCAGAATCATTCACATCAGAATCACATACACACACACACACACACACACACACATATATATATATATATATAAACATATATACATACATATATATATATATATATATATATATATAGATGTGATTGATTCTTTGATAACATTGTGAATCCCTAATAATCATAGTCATTTTATAATCATAAATAATGATGCCGGTACATCCTTTCACAGAGTTATGTGTATGTCAAATGTATTGTCATATTTTAAGACAAACTGAGCATTAGCGCTCCTTTCACTGCATGTGTTGTAGGTTATGGAAGCTGGAAACCATGAAGAAGCTGTGGACGAGGCTGAAGACACAGATGAGCTGCTCTGTACTGGTCAGCCTAGTATGCTGAACTCATGACTGTCTTGTGTATTCTTAGAAAATTCCCATTTAAGTTAGAATTTGGATATGAAACTTGTGCTCTGTCAGTTTAAAAGGGCTGCCAGTGTGTAAAGAACTGGCCAGAGCTCCATAATCTCTTATAATAATGCTTCTATGATTATACACGAGCTGACCCCAAGCTTTTTTATTATAGCAACAGCCATTAATTGTGTACTAATACTGTGCCTCCCTGTGTTTTTGTGCTTTCTCTCTTTTCAGACGTGGACGGAGAGACAGTCAGTGATTTCACTCTTGGTGCACCTGCTCTCCCCCGAGACCACTGTGATCTTCTGCTGGATGCCATCGATGCTCATCTCAGCCGTCTACAGGTCAGAGAACCACTGTTTATTAATAATAATAGGTTTATTTATAGTAGGGCTGGGTGAAATATTAGTATTAGATCCTTATATGACTACAGTTAGTCCCTGGCTCAGTTCTTGGTGCTGCGTAAAGCTCAACAGAGAATAAGTAAACTGGATCAGCACATTTGTGAATATTATCTGTGTAATGATTTTTGTCTATTGTAATATTACTGATAATTAAGCATAACAGACCTTAATTCTATAGTTTAACCCTTTAAAATGTGTTTTCTCTTTAGACTCACAGTCATGGCCAAGTGAATAGAGGCAAGAGCAAGATGGAGGCTATCCTGGGAGCAGGTAAACCCAGATTATCTCAGAAACATATGATCAAACACTGATTATACCTTAAAGGGGAATTCTGCTGATTGTATGACATTTTTGCAACTGTTAAGATGTAAACAAAGCCATTCAGAGTGGTTTGATGTCAAATGTGCTGTTCAAGTGAAAGAGGTGGTGATAGGAACCAGACATCTGAAGAGTTTATTGCCTCTAAAAGCTCCATCACAGAACATTATTACATGAAATAGTTAGGAATACGCTGCCTGATGTCTGAGACATTGATTGCGTTTACATGTGCTTAATAATCCGATAACTGCAGAAAATCAGATTTTGTCAGTAATCCGATCAATGCGTTTACATGCACTTGAGTAATCAGATAATAAGAAAACTCTGGGTCCACATGAGTCAGACAATAATCGGATTTCTACTTTGCAACCAGCCAATACACTCATAGAATTAGACGTGACGTAAACGTAATGGAAAACTCAAACTTCATGCCATAGCTTTTTTTCTGAAACTATGAATATGTATCATCTAGAAGATGAATGAAAATATATAAATCTTTTATTTCGTTAAGCATGTAGACGGTTTCAGCGTCGCTCCAAAGGTGTTTTGCTGCGTCCCGCGGCAACACTTTTTGCTAATTTCCAGGACCACGATCTGTTTTCGCACATGCACAGAAAGAAATCAGAGTAAGAGTTTACATGCACTGAGAAGTCTGATTACTGAGCTAAAATCCAGCCTCTTTATTGGATTTCTAAGTCGGATTTCTAGACCTTACTCCAATCTAAGAAATCAGAGTGTGCTGTTTACATGACCATTTGAATAATCAGATAACTGCAGAAATCCGATTATGAACAGATTATTGAGTGCGTGTAAACACACTCATTGTTTTACGATAGTTTTGAAATACATTTTTGCCCTAAAACCAGTTTTATAATCCATTCATGGTGGAGATGTACATGCAGAGCCCTGTAAAGCAAAATAGAGATTTTGGCCTAGAAATTTTTTTTAAATACATTAATAGCAGAGAGATACATGCAGGGTGTTGTAAGACAAATAGTCCCCAAAGAAAACATATTTTTGTCAAATTTACAACAAAAATACACATAAAAACACTTGGTGATTTTGGATAGTAAATAAAATAGATATATTTGCACTGTAGACATCAACTGTGGTGGACATCACCACCATTATTCAATGGGCCTTTAACCCACTAGGTTCTGAGGGCATTTTCTCAATTTGTGCATATCTTCATATAACATGATCCTCATATGTTTCATATGAAAATGCTGCGTTATCTAAAAAAATCTATAAAATGTGCCACATGAATTTTCTCTCAATTTGTGTTTTGCTTGCTTTCTTTCAGTTTGTCTTGACAGGAGTAACTCTGCGAGTAAGGACACTGGCCTGGGCAGCACTGTCCCTTCCACTGATAAAGCCACCTCTACCCCCGATGGGTCCAATTCAGATCATCCAGATCTCTCCCCAGGTAACATCAGAGACTGCTGATGTTCCAGCCACGGATCCAGTGCTACCTGTTATATTGACCTGCTGTCTGTTTTTCTTTGGTCACAGTGGAGGTCAGCAGGGGCAGGATGGAGCCAGCTGGGCAGCAACAGGACATCAATGAGGAACATTTTGGACTGTGTACAACCCCTTCCTGGCAGACAGGGAGAGCTAGAGGATCTTGGGACTCCAAGAGTGAGCAGTGTCTGTGGAGGTTGGAAAAACTGCTCGGGAGTAGCACTAAGGTAAATAATAATAATAATAATAATAATAATAATAATAATAATAGTAATTATAATAATAATGTAAACAGCAGGCCCTCATGTTATTACATTTTTTGTTTTATGTTCTTTGGAAAAATAGACAGATTAGAGAAATCTGATTGTATTTACATATATTTTCCACTGTATTTTGAAGTGAACAGTCGTATGCAAAAGTTTGGGCAGCCTGTTCTTCTGCACCTTTAATGCACAGTTACTGTTTTTTGGCTGAATTTCACATATTGGGGGAGGGGTGTTCAAATTTTTGCATAGACTGTACAAAATAATAATAATAATAATAATAATAACACTTTAAATTATTATTATGTAAGACTAATTTTACAATATAACTAATTGAATTGAAATACACCGATCGTTGTTTTACGCTCGTTGTCCATTTTATCAGCTCCACTTACTATATAGGTGCACTTTGTGTGCTGCGCTGGTACGAGTGGATCAGACACAGCAGTGCTGCTGGAGTTTTTAAACACCTCAGTGTCACTGCTGGACTGAGAATAGTCCACCAAACAAAAATATCCAGCCAACAACGTCCTGTGGGCAGCGTCCTGTGACCACTGATGAAGGACTAGAGGATGACCAACACAAACTGTGCAGCAGCAGATGAGCTATCGTCTCTGACTTTACATCTACAAAGTGGATTGACAAGGTAGGAGTGTCTAATAGAGTGGACAGAGAGTGGACACAGTGTTTAAAAACTCCAGCAGCACTGTTGTGTCTGATCCACTCGTACCAGCGCAGCACACACTAACACACCACCACCACGTCAGTGTTACTGCAGTGCTGAGAATGATCCACCACCCAAACAGTACCTGCTCTGTGAGGGTCCATGGGGGTCCTTACCACTGAAGAACAGGGTAAAAGGGGGCTAACAAAGTATCAGAGAAACAGATGGACTACAGTCTGTAACTGTAGAACTACAAAGTGCACCTATATAGTAAGTGGAGCTGATAAAATGGACAATGAGCATAGAAACAAGGAGGTGGTCATAATGTTATGCCTGATTGGTGTATAAATAAATGAACTGGTTCTCGTGACATCACAGAAACTATTAATTAAAAACCAAACATAATTTCCCAGATCAGGACTGGGCTGCACCAGTTTCGCATAAGTTTATACTTAAGTTTGTGCGCAAAGTCTTTACTAAGTCATAATGTTATGCCTGATCGGTATCTGTTGTTGTTTATATAATTGTTTATGTTGTGCTCTGAAAAACACAGAACTAACAGAACATTATATACGATGCAAAAAATATATAATAATAAAACTAATAAACAGCAGGTTGGAGTGAAGGAGCAGGAGGTGGAAGAGGAGGACAGCGTGTGCACAGAGGACTTCAGCGCAAGATTCAGAGAGGAGATGCTGGAACCGCAAGAGCTGAATGCAGGCGGAGCAGGTAGCCTGATCTCTAGTTGATTCCTGTTTCCTGTGATGATTTATGTCAAGATAAGGAGTGAAGGGATCTTAGAATAAGAGAAACTTCTCCCCACAGTCAGACAAATAGAGTTCACCTACGGTTGAACTACACTGGAGATCATAGCCTTATATAACCTACTATCATAGCTATACAGGTTATAAAGGACTGACTGCAAATTACTGTTGAAAGCACAAAGTATCACAGACATGATCAGACAGGCACAAGCAGCTGGATAGCCTTGACAGCTTTGTATTGAGTTGAATTGACAGCAGTCTACCTGTAGGAGGCAGCAGAGTTTTGGATAGAGAAATAGAGCACAAATTCCTCTTTTTAAGGCCTGAAAACGTCTCTGACATTGGATGTATAGATCTGTGAGAGTCTGTGTTTATTTCCTCAGGCAGTGCTTCAGATGCTGCCATCATCAGCAGCAGCGACACTGGACACCTAATTCCATCACAGATCGTTCAGAACCAGAACACAGTCCAGAACCTCAGTGAGAAATCATGCACCAGACACCTTGCAGGTATCTCACAGCTTTACTCTTGTGTCTTGAGTTACCTTCATTATGAGGCTTGATATGATTCAGCCCAGATAATAATAATAATAATAATAATAATAATAATAATGATAATAATAATAATAATAATAATAATGATAATAATAAGGTAAGGGGGAAAGGACCTGCCCCAGGTGGAGGAGTTTAAGTATCTTGGGGTCTTGTTCATGAGCGATAGGAAGAGGGATGGTGAGATTGGCTGCAGGCTGGGACAGGCGACAGCAGTCATGTGGTCACTGTACCGGACTGTAGTGGTGAAGAGGGAGCTGAGCCAGAAGGCATAGCTCTCTGTTTACCGGTCGGTCTACATCCTGACCATCATCTATGGTCATGAGCTTTGGGTAATGACCGAAAGAATGAGATTGCAGATACAAGCGGCGGAAATGAGCTTTCTTCGCAGGGTGGTTGCTACACTCTACTGACAGGGTGAAGAGCTTGGTCATCCAGGAGGGGCTCAGATTAGAGCCGCTACTCCTCCAAATTGAGAGGAGCCAGTTAAGGTGGTTCAGGCATCTGATCAGGATGCCCCCTGGCCACTTCCCCATGGGGGTTTACCAGGCACGGCCCACTGGGAGACCCCGGGGTCATCCGAGGACCCACTGGAGGAATTATATCTCCAAGTTGGCCTGGGAGCGGCTTGGGGCCTGCCGGAATGAGCTGGAGGAAGTTGCTGGGGACAGGGTCATCTGGGATTCTCTGCTACCGTGACCCTATCTGGATTAAGCGGTTAAAGATGATGAAACAGCGAATGAATAATGATAATGTATTTTAGTGATGTGCTTTACTGAGGGATTAAACATATAAGGAAAAATTAAAGTGCTCTTATCATGGAAAACCTAATTTCCCTCACTTTTTTTGAAAAGGAAGTAACATGTAAACATTGTTAAAGTGTCAGAACTCACCATTCATTATCCAGTCTACACAGTCCAGATTGCCGGTTGCACCAGCTGGGCTTAGGTTCAAACATAGGCTAGTTGTAACGTGTTTACTGAATTCAGGTTTATGCATCACTAAATCAGAACGAGTTGCACCGCAAACTAGTTTTAATGTTGAGCTTAGTAATTACTAAATATGTACACCTCCCCCTAAGTAGGTGTAAGTGTAGGAAAAACATCAGAAGCCATAAAGAAAACACAGAAAAGAACAAAAGCATGGCTTTTTTGGTTAACTAGGCTAAAAAATCTAAACACTGTACACTGTGATTTTACTTACAGCTCTTATCGTCGCTCTGGTTTCAACTCTAAACACCCACAGCTCCAGCTCAGTGACTCAGCAGCTGCCCAGACGGCTAAACTGAGGCTGCTGTTGTGTCGGTCAGCCAGAAAGCTGCAAGCTGCGTATCTGGTTTTCTTAGGGAAATATTAAAGAATAAACAGACAGCGGCTGTAAATATTTAGTTGTATTCAGTTTAACCTGTACACATCGTTCTTGTCTATGCTGGATATTTTTCTCATTGAAGCACAGGCTGCAGTCGCGTTTCCATGGCAGCAGGCTTATAGACTGGTTATTGTCATGTTAAAGTGACATAAGCATTAGTTTGTTGTTACTAGTTAAGACAGGACTTATGGATTTGTGACGCAACCAGATTTAGTAAAAGGATCGTTTGAAACTAACTAGTGTAACTAAGGACTTAGTAAAGACTTTGCGCACAAACTTAAGTATAAACTTATGCAAAACTGGTGCAGCCCAGTCCTGATCTGGGAAATTATGTTTGGTTTTTAATTAATAGTTTCTGTGATGTCACAAGAACCAGTTCATTTACATATACACCAATCAGGCATAACATTATGACCTCCTCCTTGTTTCTACACTCATTGTCCATTTTATCTGCTCCACTTACTATATAGGTGCACTTTGTAGTTGTACAGACTGTAGTCCATCTGTTTCTCTGCATACTTTGTTAGCCCCCTTTTACCCTGTTCTTCAGTGGTCAGGACCCCCATGGACCCTCACAGAGCAGGTACTATTTGGGTGGTGGATCAATCAAGCACTGCAGGATCAATCAAGCACTGCAGTAACACTGATGTGTTGGTGGTGTGTTAGTGTGTGTTGCGCTGGTCTGAGTGGATCAGACACAGCAGTGCTGCTGGAGTTTTTAAACACCTCAGTGTCACTGCTGGACTGAGAATAGTCCACCAACCAAAAATATCCAGCCAACAGCGTCCTGTGGGCAGCGTCCTGTGACCGCTGATGAAGGACTAGAGGATGACCAACACAAACTGTGCAGCAGCAGATGAGCTATCATCTCTGACTTTACATCTACAAGGTGGACTGACAAGGTATGAGTGTCTGATAGAGTGGACAGTGAGTGGACACAGTGTTTAAAAACTCCAGCAGCACTACTGTATCTGATCCACTCGTACCAGCGCAACATATCCACCTGTTCGGCTTACAGTAGTATAAGGAGTGTTTCAGCTTCAGTGCTTTTTGAATGAGACACAACGCAGGACAGACAATCAGAAACAGTTTCTTTTTACGTAAATCAGTCTTAAAGGCGCAGTAACAAAACAGCCTGTTTAATTGCGAGGGATAAAGAGAGGATGTAAATGGTCGTGACTGTTTTAGCTGCATAAAACCATGCAAATGCTGTAAGTGGACCTTAAGATGAAAAAACAAAATTGAGAAAAATTTGTACAGGCCCCCTCCGATGGACTGGCGACCTGTCCAGGGTGTTTTCTGCCTTCTGTCTAGTGATCGCTGGGATATGCTCCAGCTCCCCCAGCAATCCAGAAGGATAAAGTGCCTTAGAAAATGTGTGTGTGTGTGTGTATGTGTGTGTGTGTGTGTGTGTGTGTGTGTGTGTGTACAGGCCTATTTGTACAAGACAGAAAAGAAAAAAATGATGGATAAACAAAAAGACAGTAAATGTTACTGAAAAATATGTTCATTCCAAGTATAATTCTAGGAATGTACTGATTCTAATGCAGTATTAAATACGTGTCCTTTAAGATGCAGATTAAGTCACAGATAAAAAAGACATTTCATTCCTTTATTTAAATAAAGATCTACCTAACACGGCAGAGCAGGTACTGCTCTCTCACTCTGACTTCTAAAATAAAATTTGAACAAGATTAAGGACACAAGACCCCTGACCCAAGCTTAGCTGTTCTGACTCAGTTTGACTCTTTTGTTTGAAAATTTCTTTGTGTGCTTTAGCTAAACCTCCTGCATGATTTCCACCATATTTTCACCCAGACAGTAATGAATGAACAGATCCGAATGTCTCTTTCATCTGTAGGAGTTCCCATGAGGAGTTTTGACTCAGTCGCTATAGACAGCGATCTGGACTCTGTGTGCACAGAGCGAATACGACAGCATCTGCAGAGAACTCTAAACAACAGGACAGGTACTGGAGAAGTGTTTGTGTGTTTATGTGTGAGAGTAGATTCACTGTAAAGCAGCCAGACTGTCTTATTTAATATGTTATTTTATATTATGAAATATTATGAATTAAGTGACCCTTATTGGTCCCACAACAGGGAAATTTCACCTCTGCATTTAACCCATCCATGCAGTGAAATGCCACATTCACACTTGCCCAGAGCGGTGGGCAGCCCTATCCATGGCGCCTGGGGACCATTTGGGGGTTGCGTGCCTTGCTCAAGGGCACTTGAGCATGTCGGCTCAGGGGATCGAACCGGGGATCGAACCGGTCACAGGGCTGGTTCCCTGACCTCCAGCCCATGACTGCCCCCAAATGCTTGTCAATGTTAATGGGTTAATTAAGCATTAACACAAAAAAATGATTTAAAAATGTCAGCTGCACGTTGCTTCGTCACTGTTGCCCTCTTGTTCAAACAGAGCTTTTAAATGGTAAGAGGTTAGACCAGGCATGTCAAACAGGGGACCTTCTGGGCCAAAGTGCTGTGGAGATTAGCGTTTTCCCTCATCTGTTGCTCTGAATTCAATTCATGAAGGCCTGGCTAATTAGCTGATGAGCTGGATCAGGTATTTTTAATGAGGACTGGAGCCTGACACGTGTGGGTTAGATTGATTGGTAAAATTGTGCTTCAACTGGGTGTTTTTGACTGAGGGATGTCAATCAAGCACTGTCAATGTCTGATTCTTTGCCGGATGAATAATATGACACGTAATTTTACTATCATACAAATGTAACCAGTGTTTTACGCTGTGTTCACTCAGACAGTCTTTCTAATTAAACGGTCTTTGTCCATTGGCAAATATTTAACTTTTTCTAAGATTATATTCATTATGAAAAATTTTAAATATATTGACTTAATTTAAGATGCTTTAAGATGTTTCTTGCCAAGATATGCTTATCATTATCATATAGTGCATTGCTTGTGTGAAGTAAGCATAGTTTAGCATACCTGGTCCTGAAACTCTGTGCTCTGTTATGTAATATTACAGCACTGGAGACGTTCGTACAGAGTGGATCCTGCACAAGAAGACTAAAAAATATACAACGATCTGAAAACCGAACACTCAGGTAGTTGCTATCAACAGTATGGAATATGTTTTTACTGAGCAGTGGAGATCAGTATAAATCATCAGTCAATAAAGGTGGAGGCTGAATATTTATTGTATCTCCCTTTTTTCTCCCCCTTTTCCTCACTGTCCTTTCTTTCTTTCTCTCTGTATCTCTCTCTTTGTTAGCTCTGACGATGAAGGAGTGGTTGGAGAAGAAAGTATTGAATGTGTAAGACGTTACAGGTCACTGAGAGCTCCAGGCAGCGTCCAGAGAAGAGAAAAAAAGAACCAAAGCAGGAGAAACAACTCCACTACCTCTACGCCCTCCACTACTGTAAGACACTGCACACTTTTTCAGGACTGTGCAGTCAGACACCACTCTTTATTTGCTTTATTTCCAGTCAAAATGGACATCAAGGACAAGTGATTAATTTTTCAGGAGGTATTTTTGAGGAGACAATTTAAGTCAAAGGAAAACGAGTGAAAAACAACAGAATTTCCAAAACTGGAATTGAAAAAATTCAGAGATACAGAGAAATGAGACTCCTTAAAAGACATTGTAGACCAAAAAACTGTCTAAATGTGTTTGGGATTACTTCGATCATGAGAAGCAGAAAGTGCAGTCAACATCTAAGACTGAACTTCGGGGGTGTGTAAAAATATCCCCGCAGATTTCTTTGAACAGCTGAAAGCAAGTCTTCCAAAAATAATGGAAGCTGTAATAAAGGTAAAGAGTGGACACAGTAAATACTGAAAAATGCAATATTGTATTTAGTTATTGAGACCTCCATGTAATTTTCTGTTACATATATATTTTCTGATTATTTCCTGGTGCTAAAAAATTAATTACCTGTACTTAAAGGCCATTTTGACTGAAATTAAATAAATGGATATAAGTAATATCTCCAAAATGGAGAAGGAAAAAACCTACTTTACTTTTCATGTAAGTCAATGGAACCAGACCAGTCATTTTTGGCCATTTCTTTTGGTCCATTCATCATCAAATTATGTCAAAAACTGAAAACCGGCCAAAATGGAGATACAAGGTTTTGCCCCAACAGCAGAGAAATTTAAAAATATTGCTGATTACAGACATACTGACATAAATTGAAATGGTCTACGTGATTCTATTAAAAACACTGATATCCCTTAAAGAAAGAAGTACGCACTGCGCTTAAAACCATTTCCACTGAGTGTGTGTTCTATTAGTCTTATAAGAAAATGACTTGTTTGTCTTAATCATTCTTTCACCAGATGGTGAAAACTGTGGTCTTGTTTTGGCGACTGCATGATCAAAACATAGAAGCAAATTAATGTTAACACTACTTTTTTTTATCTTTGTATTTAGATGATCTCCTACAGCTCCACATTCAGTCTTCTGTGAAAGTTAAATGACATGCTTTGTTGAATTTCTAAGGCAAAATAAGTTAACACTGTGACTTACTAAGTTCTCTACAGAGAATAAATATGACATGTTTTGTAATTAAATAATTTTTTTCACATTTTATTGCACAATTTCTACTTATTTGCTGAATGTAACATACTGGAATAAATAAACCATAAACTGGGCATGAAAGTTTAGTCTTACACGAAAATAACTTGCTGCCTATGCTTTCAGCAGGTGCTGCAGTCTTGTTTTCTGCAGCTGGACTTTGATCAAATGAATGAAAAGCAAATGAATGTTGGCACTTCTGTACGAAGCCCTGCTGGTGACATCTTATATAAATAAAAATAATGTATAAAGATAATTAAGTCGCAGCCTCACCTTATTAACTCATGAGAATGAGATCGCAATGCATGGCCACGACTTAGCAAGGCATGGGAACGAGATCCTGCTTTACTGAGTCGTGGCTACGCATTAGGATCTCATTCCCATGCCTTACTTAGTTGTGGTCACGACTTAATTATCTTGTTCTCACGCCTTACTAAGTCGTGGCCATTATTTTTATTTATACAGGATGTCACCATATAAATAAAAATAATGTTTAATGCACTTAATGCATGGCCAGGACTTAGTAAGGCATAGGAATGAGATAATGCCTGACTAAGTCTTAGGATGCTCTGTATTTCAGAGCAAAGAAAAACAGGATGACAAGCTCAGAACAGAATTCAATGACGTGGAATTGTCGCTTGTTGGACTTCAGCAGCAAAAAGCGGTACATCCATTTCCTCCATTCTGTTATTCATCACTGTTATCATTAGAAAAGTGGGTGTTCCACATTGGCTGATTGCAAACATAGCTGGGTGATGTTTGGTGAGGTGTGTGAGGTACAGGTGTGTTTTAATGAGATGTGTGTGGTGTAAAGTTGTATTTTTCTGTCTGAAGGCTGCGGTGAGGCTGGTGGAGAGACTGAGGGAGGAGGTGGAGGAAGCAGAGAGAGAGAGACACACACTGCAGCTCAGTGTAACTCAAACCAGAACTCACGCTCAGCTCCTCCGGTACACGGCACCATCACCTACAGCTACATATTCTCCAGCTCAGCTCATCTAAATTTAATGCAGCTCTGTCATTTAATACATGTACACATATAAAGTATGACATATAGTCTCTCCTTTGCCTGCAGTGCAACAGATTACTGATCATATTGCACCTATTACAAACTACTCACTGCTCCAGAGTATAAAATAGGTGCACTGTCAGTCCCACAGAACAGACAAGCACACTATAAACCTGCATAAGTTAGCAGAACTCAAAATAATACATGTAATTGTAGGAAGATTGTAGTGAGGTAGATGTGGTGACACATCTGATGTAATTGCATAAAAATTGCATAAAACGATTATTGAAAAAGGTGAGTTATTGCAAATCAACATATTCCCATATTTATTCACACTCATTTTAAATCAACCTTTAATTTCAGCTCAATATTACATGAGTTATCACTTAAATATTTTGTGGCAGATGATTAAACTAAATCAAAATATAAATATTCTTAAAGGATATACTTTTACTTTACTTTTTACTTCACTTTTACTATATTAATATCTGTGCTTCACTGGCATTCAGCCTCAAAATGATCAAATGATTAGAATCACCCATTTCAGAGGATTACACCACACTGGACCACCATTGGGGCAGTCATGGGCTGGAGGTTAGGGAACCAGCCCTGTGACTGGAAGGTCGCTGGTTCGATCCCCTGAGCCGACAGTACGTGACTGAAGTGCCCTTGAGCAAGGCACCTAACCCCCAACTGCTCCCCGGGCGCTGCGGATAGGGCTGCCCACCACTCCAGGCAAATGTGTGTGTGTTCACTAGTGTGTATGTGGTGTTTCACTGCATGGATGGATTAAATGCGGAGGTGAAATTTCCCTGTTGTGGGACTAATAAAGGTCACTTAACTGTAAAAAATAGTGTTTTAACTTTAAAAAGTGACTTAGTTGGCTGAGTTAACTCATAATTTGACAGTCAATTAACTCCATTTTTAAGGCAGCTGGGTAACGAACTTTTTGACCCCAACCAATTGTTTACCTTTTTATTAGTAGCACAGGCTGACCTGGTCAACTTGAACACCAACATGATTCAAATAATAAATCTATCAAATAATAAATCTAATGTATCTAAAACTAAAGTTTAGCACATTATAACATGTTTTAACTCAAATTAACTCTATTTGAAAATAAGTAGAGTAATAAGTAAAACAGGAGCTAAGGAACAGAATCCCACTGCAGAATCCTCAAAACTGCCATGGCTTTTTGCCCCATAATGTGTCAGACATAAACTGTTCAAACTCGTCATTCAGCTCTTTTTACCTAAAACTGCAAACAGGACTCTAAATCAAAGTTACCAGTTTCACAAACTATAAAAGTTTGCTCAATATGGTTACTTTAGCTAACTATTGGATATACTAGTTTTTGCATTCAGTCTAATTATACTTTTCAATAAGATGTGTACAATGAGATAGTGGTACCTCCTTTGTATGCTTGTTGTCATCTCTTTCTGGGGCTACATAACATCTAGTACAGGGGTCGGCATGTTAAGAAGAGGCATTTTGTCCTTTTTAGCAAAAATCAAACCACCATCTTGGCTGTAAATATGTCTCAATATGTGCTACTAGCTTAACCTGAAAAAATGTAATATGAACGAAAATCCAGACTTACTTTGCTCTGCTTTAAGCTTTAGCTCAGCTATAGCCGCATTTCTCACATCTCTGGCAGGAAACTTTTCCTCAAAATTAGAATATTTTCATGTAAAATGTTTCTCAACACTCAACTTTTTTACGAGACTGAAGTCAGCTTCTCATTCGCCAGCTTCAATTTCCCGTTCACCCTAAATGGTGCCTGAGGCGCCAGAATGTAACTTCTGCACCATTTAAGGTGGAACGGGAACAAGAAGCTGGCGAATGAGAAGCGGCTTCAGCTTCACAACTTTTTAGTGTTTGACAGTTTCTCGTTGCAGATTAAATGTATCAGGAAACCAGCTGGAGTTTTTTAATAAATGCAAATAAGTCCATTCGTCTCTAAATTATCGATGTTTGTCTTAAATCTCTCTCTTTGCCTTTTCATTAGCTACTAGCTAGGCGAGATTGTTGTCTGTGTAGCTATGGTGACCAGCAGTCTGCCCGCCAACCTTCAGGGTTAAAGAGTAAATTAGCCATTATTAGCCATTATAAGCTAATTTAACTTCAAGATCATTTATTGTTAAACTGTGTTGAAAGATCAGCAGAGCTTTATTTTACTATAAAGGAGGATTATTTTAATTTTACCTAAAAATCTGATTCTGCTGTGGAGCCAAAACAGGACAGTAAAAGAGCCGCATGTGGCTCCGGAGCAGCACGTTGCCGACCCCTGTTCTAGTGCTTAATGAAATAGTGGAGTGTAGGTTCACCTTCATATGTGTGTTGTAGGAGTGAGCTACACAAACTCCAGGCTCAGAGGGACTTGAGTGTGAAGGAGTTCAGAGCTCTACAGGAGGACCAGGCTGCCTTACAGAGACACACAACCGCTTGTTACTACGCCTCCAGTCCTCACCAGGTACAATGGAATTGGATTTTTCAGAGGGCTCTATTTGTCCAATCGCATTAAAAGAAATTGTACGTTTGCATAAAGCAAGGTGGACTAGTTGATTTCATCTGCAATTATTATTACTATTCATCTGTCCCTTCCCTAACACCCCCCCTTCCTTCCATCCCTCCTTCACGTCCTCATTTCTTTCCTAGCGTATGAACAGCAGCTGCGTGTCTGTGTTGGAGAGGGAGGAGATGGAACGTCTGCTGGACAGCACCAAATCAGAGCTGTTCTCAGAACAACGGCGGTTCAGGAAAAAACTGGACTCCATGCAGGAGGTACCACTCAACCTCAGCAAACGTAAACAAAAGTAAACAAAACAATAGTTAGAGCGAATGAAGGCCTTCAGTTCAGAGCCCTTATTTGGTACAGTTGCTGTAATTTTTACAAAATGAATCACATTTACAATCAACAGATTTTTGAAGACAAAAAAATGACAAAACATCAAAAATGTAAAGAATGTTTTTATATGTAATGTTTATAATGGTAAAATAGTGGTAGATAAAAAAAAAAAATAGGGACTATTTTGCCTTACAACACTCTGCTTGGACCCTTCGCCATCATCGTATTTAAAACAAAAGTCTCAGTTATCAGGCAGCGTATGGGTCACCTTTTTTATGTAATAGCTGTCTTTGACGAAATTTAGAGGCATTAAATTCATCATAGTCTGGTTCCTGTCACCATCACTGTGAATAATTCTGACTCAGTATGTTCTCAGTAGCGTTTCACATTAAATGTGAGGTTCTAAATTACCTTGTTTGGGTCTTAATTAATAAATTATGCAGAAAGATTGAAAAACTTTTGGATTTCCCCTCTTATAAAGTTACTTTAAATAAGGAAAATTCTCAAATTTCAAAATGCAAAGTATGGAATATATTCAGATATATTTAGATATAAGATGATTTACCGTATTATTTTTTTTTGGTGCAGAGTAATTTGTTTTTTTAGTTTTCCACTGAGGCTATAAGGCTTACACAGCTAACAATAACAGAGACATAAGTACACAAATTAGCATTGCAAACTGCAAACCTAAATCACCACATACATGCCTCAAACTGTGTTTATCTGTTAAATTATCCCCAGTAGTCTTTTTCATCACCCAAAACAAGTCTGTTCACATAACAGTAACTTTTCATTGAATTCAGATTGTAATAAAATATCTCCTGTACTCTTTACAAACACCAGTGTGGTGTTGATGGAAAGTTTACAATCCCAACTTTTCATAGAGGTTTGACTGAACTTTGAGTGAGGAGTTATTAATGTAAAATTGCGACATTATTTCGTTATTGCCAGCAACACTGTGCTTTCCAAGCGTTAAAGTTAGTATATTTGAAAAATGTTCTACACAAAACATCTGCATTTTTCCCCACTGCCGTCTTTCTCTTCTCTTTCCTCTTCTTTTTTTCTTTTTCTGTCTGTCTGTCTCTCACTCTCCCTTCCTCTCTCTCTCAGAGACTAGAGGAGGTGACTCAGGAGCTGGAGCAGAGGGAGGAGGAGAGCAGGAGCCTCAGAGAGAAATGCTCTGAGCTGGAGGAGAAACTGACTGCAGCCATGAAACACAGAGATGAGCTACAGCAAGTAGGTCTCTCTCTCTCTCTCTCTCTCTCTCTCTCTCTCTCTCTCTCTCTCTCTCTCTCTGTCTCTCTCTCTCTCTCTCTCTCTTTCCTATATCTCTCCCTTGTTTTGTTTGCCTGTTTCTAGCCCTTTGTGTTTCAGTCTGTACAGAGTGAACGAGTGGAGCAGGAGGACAGGCTGGGGGCTCTGGAGAAGATCATTGCCCAGAAGGAGCTGCTTCTGCTGGGCATACAGGAGGAGAAGAGCTCCCTTCAGATGGAGCTCACTGCCATCAGAGAGGAGAACAGGGCTAAGCTCACAGCAGCACTGACACAAGCACAGAAAGAAAAGGTACTAATGAGAGGAGAGTGAATGATCACGGTTTCAGAATAAAGGTCATTTAAGTGCATCAGTTTTGAACTTTGGAATAAATTCTAATCCATTAAAATGATGCTTATTAAAGTATGCTCTTACCAAAATAATATTGTCTACATTTTTAAACAAACAAATCCAAAAAATTATGCTGTTTTGTTTTTATTATCTATATTTCACTATACGCAGTTTCTCCAGTCACAACTATACCAAAACTGTTGAATTGAAACAAAAAAAAATTGTAATGACATTTGAAATTTAAATTTGTTATGTGAATAATTACATAAATAAGTTCCTGTAGAGTTCTAATTTATCCCACACTATTCTATAATTTTGTATTTTATTTTTTCCCTGAGGTCCATTTATAACATAAAATGTCACAAAAACAGACAGAATTCATTTTTACATTTTCCAGCCTCTTTTTATCTAAACTAATCATTCAAATTAGTTCAATTAATTATCTAATAAATCGAATTAGTGCGGAGCCCCACTGGTGACATCCGGTATAAGTAAAAATAATGCGTGGCCACGCCATATTAATGCGTGGGAACGAGATCCTAATGCATGGCCACAACTTAGTGAGGCTTGGGAATGAGCATTTTATAGTTTTCACTGTGGGCATGTTGGAGTCTGAATTGCTGAACTGGGATTTGAAAGGCAGTATTAAGGAATTAATCAGCTGTTGAGGAATAGCAGTTTCAGGGCTGCTCAATACCAAGACATTGATGTTTAACAGACAAATAACGTAATACACTGATCAGGCATAACATTATGACCTCCTCCTTGTTTCTATGCTCATTGTCCATTTTATCAGCTCCACTTACTATATAGGTGCACTTTGTAGTTCTACAGTTACAGACTGTAGTCCATCTGTTTCTCTGCATACTTTGTTAGCCCCCTTTTACCCTGTTCTTCAGTGGTCAGGACCCCCATGGACCCTCACAGAGCAGGTACTATTTGGGTGGTGGATCATTCTCAGCACTGCAGTAACACTGACGTGGTGGTGGTGTGTTAGTGTGTGTTGTGCTGGTATGAGTGGATCAGACACAGCAGTGCTGCTGGAGTTTTTAAACACTGTGTCCACTCACTGTCCACTCTATCAGACACTCCTACCTTGTTGGTCCACCTTGTAGATGTGAAGTCAGAGACGATAGCTCATCTGCTGCTGCACAGTTTGTGTTGGTCATCCTCTAGTCCTTCATCAGTGGTCACAGGACGCTGCCCACAGGACGCTGTTGGCTGGATATTTTTGGTTGGTGGACTATTCTCAGTCCAGCAGTGACACTGAGGTGTTTAAAAACTCCAGCAGCACTGCTGTGTCTGATCCACTCAGACCAGCGCAACACACTAACACACCACCACCACGTCAGTGTTACTGCAGTGCTGAGAATGATCCACCACCCAAATAGTACCTGCTCTGTGAGGGTCCATGGGGGTCCTGACCACTGAAGAACAGGGTAAAAGGGGGCTAACAAAGTATGCAGAGAAACAGATGGACTACAGTCTGTAACTGTAGAACTACAAAGTGCACCTATATAGTAAGTGGAGCTGATAAAATGGACAATGAGTGTAGAAACAAGAAGGTGGTCATAATGTTATGCCTGATCGGTGTACATCTGAAAGTTTTGTGCATTTTTCTGTTTCTGTCTGTTCAGGAGGAGGAAGTTGAGCGGCTGAAGGTTCAGTTGACTCAGAGTCATGAGCACGAGCTACAGATGGTACAGCACTGACACAGCACACGTCAACACACCACAGATGGTTTGCGCTGATTGTTTACTTGTTGCATGTGTGTCTGCATGTGCAGGTTCGTTCTCAGGGGCATGAGGCCAGAGCAGCAGCACTCAGAGAGCAAGCTCTTACCCACACGCGCAACACTGAGTCCTTACACAGCTGCATTCAGGTCAGACTCCACACATCAGTCCTCTTCTATGTAGGGAATTTGGCTAATATTGCTTATTTTGAGGTTACTTTAAGTATATTTTATACATATTTGACTTAATTCTACACATTTTTACTTATTTTAAGTAATTTCGTGAATTGAAATGATCTCAGTGTATTGGCAGATACTGCATATTTCTTAAAATAAGCAACATTAATTGCCAATAAAGCAGGATGATTTCACTTAAAGGGGAATTCCACCATTTTTTAAAATTGCATAATTTAAAACGTAAACAAAACCCATGTGAAGTGGTTAAACGTAGAGAAGCTTACGAGGTGAACGGGACTGTTCACAGTGGTGGTGATAGAAACCAGATGTCTACAAAGCAAATATAGCCATTTGATTAACTCTCCAAATCCGTCAGTGAACCTACACCTGTCCTCTGAGTTATTATGTGCTGACGTGTAAACACCACAGGTTTATCTGTTTACTGCTCAGATCTGTTTTTAACTGTTTTGTACAATAAAGATATTTTACATTTGCTTAAGTCGTTAAACATGGTTCTTATTGCTAATTATATAATAGTAAATATTAAATATATACAGTAAATAAACAAAAATAAGCTTTCTTAAGCATCTGATAAATATAATCCAACAAGTTAATGCCATCTAGCCAAGCTGAGTGTATTTTATTTGTGATGCAGAATATAGATTTTACTAAAATGAAATATTTTATTAATGGAATTGTACAAATATCAGGACTTATACATGAGTTAGGTTAGATAGAGTTAGTATTAATATCGTTTCTTGGTATCGGCCGATACTAAAGGATCAGGGATTGGTATTGGAAGGGAAAAAGTGGTATCGGTGCATCTCTAGCTATGTGCAAGAACATTTGTCCATTTTTATACACAGCATCATGTTGGTTTCAGACACCAAACATGTCCTGGCTGACTAACTACATTTAGGTTTAGCTGGAAATTGTGTAAATTTGACTTTTGGCTGGACTAAAAAAGGCTCTGTCTTTTTCTCCTTTTCTCTCTAGATGAAGGAGCAGGAGGTGAAGAGACTGCAGGAGTCTGTTAAGCAACAGCAGGAGGTGCTGAGGAGGCGAGAGGAGGAGCTGAGAGGAGAGGCAAAGGAACAGGTTCTCTCTCCCCACCAGAGCCCATAAAAATGTCTCTCGATTCACTGCGATTCACAAAAAGAATTCCTTATGTCTTTTTGACTTCAGGAAAGTTGTAAAGACTGAGCTGAATTATCACTTTAATTAGTGGTGTTTTGGTTGTGCTTCCAGGTGCAGAAGGCAGTGGAGCGAGAGCAGGATAAGTTTGAGGAGCAGATGCAGGACTTGGAGAGGAGGTGGAGAGCAGACGTGGAGAGAGAGAGGAGGAATGCGTTGGCTCTACAGAACAAAGTTGTGGAGCTGCAGACGGTGAGGGAGACGAGGGAGTTCAAATCCATTCATAACCTTTTATTACGGAGCCGAAATATTTTTCATTTTGTCTGATAATTCAGAAGAAGGTTACTCAATCACGGGTGATTTTACCTGTCTTGTAAAATTAACGAGTCATTCATCATTTTTCTTTCTTTCTGTCCCCTCAGCGGGTAGAAGAGTTGGAGAGTGAAGCGTCTGTGCAGACGGCGAGGCTCAGAGCTCTGAGAGACGAGCACCAGGCGGAGTTACAGACACTGCACAGGCAGCTAAAACAGGTGTGTAGTTTATAATGTTTAAATCTACATTTGGTGAGTTACTTTTGAATATAAAATAATATTTGCCATCATCCGCCACTCAGTAACGGTGCTGTGTTGTGGACAGGAGGCTGATAGTGAGACTGCACGTCTGAAACAAAGTGTGAAACGATCAGAGAAGCAGCTCCAGGGCCTGAAATCGGCACTTGCTGAGTGTGAGCGGGTCCACCAGGTGGCAGCAGAGAGACAGGAGCGGCAGAACTCAGGCTGGGTTCAGGACATACACACGGAGTGCGTGTGTCTACAGGAGCTGCTCACACACAATGGTCTGAGTGTGGATACCAAACACCTCTCACACAGGTAAACTGACAAAACACTTACATACAGGCATGTAGGAATAAAAACATTGGTGACGTTTGCTTTTATCGTAGGGTTTCAGTTGTGATTTTTCTGTTGTGGCCACCATATTTCTGATCAAATTTCTGGCTTCACTGCTCCACATGAAGGTAACTAGAGGTGAAATATGCCTAAAATTACTCTCCTTACTTTGGGAGAGAAAAAACATCACCTCAACAAAGTCGATAAAATAGTCTGTGATCCTTATACAGTTTCCCCCTGAACTCCTGATCCCACTTAAACTGGTGGAAAGCCATCAAATTTGTGTTTTCCTGACATTTATATTTATCTCATACACAACCCCTCCCCTATGGAATATTGTGGAGAGTCTCTCAAAGCATTTAAAAGCACAGAAGCCCACCGGCTCTTCACGTCAGGGTGGGTAAAGGATCCCATGGTGTTCATAAAGAGGAGAAAAACCTCTTCATCATTATAGGAGGGTAACATCAGCAAATTAACACAGATGTGAACAATTCTAGCCTTTAGACAACTTCAGCTGATGTTAACAGCTGAGAGATAAACAGTCGTCCTGTTACGGAGCTGCAGACAGCCGGTATAACTTTACTTCTCTGTTTAGGGAGATTTAAATGAGGTTTGAATGGAGAAACATAAACGTTAAATATAAGACTTAATGTCGTGGGTCGGAAGACGACCTTGTGGCAGCGGCTCCAAGCCTGGAGTCGGAAAACACTGAATTAAAGGTCTGTGCGTCTCTCGTCATTCTCGGCTTCTGTCGCGTCTCACAGGTGAATCATTCAAGCACAGCAAATTGAAGGCATCGTGCAGCACAGTAACTCCCTGATTCGGTCCTCAAAATGGCGGTGACTATACAGTGGGACCTCACGCGAAACACATGAATAGTCCCTTAAGCTGTTGGTATCAGCCAGGCAAATGTACAAACTCTAAAGTCCTAGATAATTATTTTGGGTAACAGGATGATACGTTCCAAGGCAGCCTAACTTCATTAAATGCCCACCAGATTCTATCTATTAACTGGGAAAGTCCAGTGCTGTATAACTAATTTGGGTAAAAGGTACTGGGTGGTTACATAGCATAAGAAAAAGAGTTTTACTGGTTCCTTACCATTTCTTTCAGAAAACTATCTTTGCACTTTGTGGTGTGATTTAACCCCTTATAACTTTCTTGAAGGTGTTTCTGATTTAATTTCCTGCTAAAACATGTAACATTACAGTAAAACTTAGTGTATATTTGTCCTGACCACCTTGTTACCATGTCCTTAATCTGTTTATTAGCTACAACCTGGTAATCTTTACAGCTTCATTCAATTAGACTGGCTTTAATTACACGGCACTTTCTTGGTTAATATCTAGAACCTGTTTGGCATTTCACTGTAATTTAATTAAACAAAATTAACTTAATCTGAGAACTTACTCAAAATAATTGTCTAGAATTTTTCTGGTGAATACTTCAAACTTAAAAGAATGTTTTCTTTATGAAATTAAACACAGGGAGGTGTGAGAGAAGTGTGCATTCAGAGTATATGAAAATATACAGATGGTTTGGTGCAATCAGTTGTGAGCAACTTACCAGCAACCATAACATCATATTTAAGAGGTTTCAGCTGAGGTTAAAATGGGGTTTTAAAAAGATCAGATATTTTTGGTTTGGAGGAAATGACGGTTCCAGTAAAGCATCAGACATGGGTTGGTGGGTTGTTTACATGGGATTCTTTTTTTTTTTGTACTGCATCCTCTTTTTCATCATCATCATCATCATCATTATTATTATTATTATTATTATTATTTATTTGGCAGTAATTATGTATTGTTATTTGGTACAATTTGACAAGCGAGCACTGTTCTAAAGTTTGGTATCACTGCTCAAAATTTCGGAATAAATGTTTTCAATAATATAAAATCCGTTTGGTTTCAGATAAATGCATAATTATGGTTAAAACATGTTGTTTCTCTGCAACTCAACAAGTTAAAATGATTAGTAGGACACTAGCAAACTGTAATGAACAATAAGGAAATTTTGGATGTTTCCAGAATGATGAACACTCTCAAGGCCGAAGTATGTGAATAGATAATTAGAGTGCACTATTTAACATTTTTGTTCACTTTTTCTTCAGAGAATTCTTGCAATATCAAATAAAATGTTTAAAAATACTTTTTTGGTGAATAGTTTGTAATATTTTTGTATATAAAATAATAACAAATGTTAATACGGCAATTACTTTTGGATAGTAGTGTATATAGGTATGTTTATTAACTATATATAGTATGTAATCTGATATTAAATAGGATTGAATGTGCTGTGAATGTATGTGTGACTGGTGCAGCGCTACAGTGAGTGAGGCTGTGCAGGTGCTGCAGTCTCTCAGAAAACCTCTCCAGCAGCTCATCATCAGCCTGCAGAACCGCATCAGCTCACTCACTCACACCAACCAGCAGATCAGCGCAGAGAAGGCAGGTGCACAACACACACACACACACACACACACACACACACACACACACACATGCTCATACTTGTGTGTGTGTATATATTCTCGCCTAAAAAAAAGCATTTAGTCACATTCAGCCCAAACTTGCTCCTTGGACTTTAAAGGTTAATTGGTCACTACATCATCAATGAGGTTGTCTTAGATTTTAAGAGATCCATATCTTTCATTATTCTTATATTTGATTTTTTTCCCTTGAGGTCCACATCTAACACCAACAAAAATGGTCATAATTCAGTTTTACATGACCGTTTTCCACCACTTTTCATTCTTTATAATTACATAGGCTACTGTGTCTTTAAAACTGATACATGTAAACGAGCTCCGTTCTGATTGGCTGCTCTGTTTTGTGCTGCATTCAGAAGGCAGTTGGAGGTGAAACATTCGTTTCAACTTATAACTTCAGTGTGAATGGACTTGTGTATCTGTAGATGTACGTAAACGAGTTGTTTTTTTGTGACATCGTGGAAACAAATAATTCAAAATAGGCTGTTTCAGTATTTGGACTGTATGGACTGGCTACTGAACGGCATGTTTTAAGAATGTTTGCATACAGCGTCAAGCACTTTAATTTCAAAAAGCAAGTGAAGCTTAGTGCAGAAATTTCACCTAATAATACAAAACTCAAGAACTCGTGTGGACGAGTCAGAGGAGTCACAAACAAACGCCTATAAAAATGTTTGCAGAAGTTTGGACACTTTGGGCAAATGATGTTTTGGTGAGTTTAAGTGAAAATAAGTTGAAACTGTAAGGGTCCAGCCTGCGCCGCTGGCCGCCAGCAGAGGGCAATGGCGGTGAGGTGCCACCAGTTCAGGAACTCCAATTCCCAGAAGCGCTCTGGCTGATTAGGTCCAACCTGGCACACCTGTGGACTCCTCTACTTAAGGCTGTGGCAAACAGCAGCCCTTTGTCACACCTATGTAGAGGGGTGACTGGTACAATACTTAGCCCAGGAGGAAAGGAAAAAGAAAAGAAAATAGGGCTGAAAAAAAGAGAAATTGCCCCAAAACAACAGAAAGAAGAAAAAGAGGGATAAAAAAAAGAATAAATTGCCCCACAACTACTTAAAAGACAAAAAGAAGGCTTAAACAAGAAACAACTCCAAGCCAAACAAAAGTGTTTGTTCCAAAAAGAGCAAACAGGTGAAACATAAAGCTGATCTTCCTTTCATAATTACAGAGGAAGTGTCTTTTGTTTTCTGATTATTTTTTTATTTCACGTTTCTATCTTAGCCTTTGTTTGACCCATTGTTTGCCCGTTTCCCGCCATTTTTCCATTCCCATTTGTTGAGGTGTTTTTCCCGTTTTCACCTGTGCTTCTTGGTGGCACAGCGGTAACTCCTCGGACCGCCATTCAGTACATTGACGTCTCTGAGCCACCCCAACCCCAACGTGCAGAATCACTCCCCCCTTTCTCACGGGTTTCCTCTCTGCACTTGGGTCCGCCTCCCTGCCGTCCTGTAACAGAAATGTCCTCTGCACGATTACTGGTATTTTAACATATTGCTTTCTTTATTTATGTTAAACTCAGCAAATAAATAGAAACCCTGCACTAAAATTAGCAGATTATATTATATATTTGCAGGTATATTTAAGTGTGTTCTCTGTAGAGAATGCGTTAAATTATTTTCACTTAGAAAACCAACAAAATGTCATTTGACCAGGGGTGTTCAAACTTTTGCAAACATCTTTGTGTACATGACAACTGCGGCCAATTAACAGTCTGGTGCACAATGTTCAGTGTTCAAGCCTCAAGCCGGCAAACGTGGTTAGTGTCACTGTCCAATGAAAAACATGTTTTTTTGTGATTTTTACTTTTGTGCGTCGTTTGATCTCAGCAGCTGTGCTTTACATTGTGTGAGAATTTCATGACGATGGGACCAATAGAAATGCTCCAGAATTGCTTCGAATAAAATCTCTTCCCATTGACTTACATTGAAAGGTGAGAGTGTTTTTGCCCTCCTGTGAAGTTACTATTTTGGAGATACTTGTTTTTCTTTGGACAGTGACGATATGCTGGTTTAGAAAAGCAAGTCTGGACACCAATTTATAGAAGATTATTGCAAATATTACTGCAGAAGATTGGTCAGACAATTTGCCTTTAGGTCCTTCCTCAAATCATTCAGCCCTACATGCTTCTGCACACGCTTGTATATAAATGACTTTATCCGGATGTTTTGCTTTGTGTGTGTGTGAGCGCTTCAGGAGCTGGAGCTGCGTCTGCAGAGGGACCAGTTGACGGTGGAGAAGGAGAGAGCTCTGAATGCATTAAAGGAAAAACTCATACAGGTGTGAGTCACTAAACTGACGCCAGTTTTTTCTTATGGTCTTCTCCACCCACCAAATTAGTCTCTCACTCTGTTACTAAGCTGGGAGGATGTCACTCTTTTTTTACGTATTACCAGTTAACGCGAAAATGGTAACTCACACAACTTTGACACAGTTGCAGCGAAACCTTATATCTCCAAAATTGTAACTTTACAGGAGAAGGGAAAAAAAAACAGTCTTAAAGGGGAACTCCACCAGTTTTTCAAAATTCTCCATAATTAAAAGGTTGAGATGTATACAAAGTCTTTCAGAGCAGTTTGGTGTGAAACAATCCACTCTAGAGAAACCTTCCAAGTCAGAGTAGTTCACAGTGGTGGTGATAGGAACCAGACATCTGAAGAGTTTAATGCCTCTGAAAGCTCCCTCACAGAAAGAAACAGTTAGATATGTGCTGCCTGAAGTCCGACACATTCTTTTATGATGCTTTTGTGATAAAGTTTTGGCTTAAAATTTTTTTTAATCCCTTTATTTTAACCAGTTCATAGTGGAGGGATACATACAGGGCGTTGTAAGGCAAAATAGTCCCTCAAACTTTTTTTTATTTTTTTTATTCAGATTTATGACTATTTTAGCATAATCATTATTACACATAACAACTCAGACACGTGTAGGCTCACTGGTGATTTGGATAGTAAATAAACTGGCTAGATTTGTGTTGTACACATGGTCACCATGAGCCAGTTCTCATCAAACCACTCTGAATGACTCTGTTCACATCTCAAGGACTGAATTATTCAGAAAATGAATAAATGAAAAAATGGTGGAATTCCCCTTTAACATTCTTTGTAAGTTTACATAAAGAGATTTTATTCTGAGTAATTTTGAACCATTTTTATTGGTCCATTAATTCTGAAATTTTCAGCTGCTTTGTTCATATTGTTTCAAAACATGAAAAACAACACAATTAGAGCGAGACTCGGCCTAGATATCAACATTTACTTCACGTAAAATGCTGCTTGTGTCCCCAAACTTCTCTACGGTTCTGTATCACACACTCAGTTGTTTAAAAATGAAGATCTTTTTATGTGCCTTATATTATTAATACTGAGATGAATTCAGGCATATGTATATTCAAACTGACCTATAGCAACTTCATATGCACTGTCACTGAATATCTTGCATATGAAGCAAAATGACACCATTGCTTTGCGATTACCGATTTAGCTCTGTTCCTGTGTTGTGTACTTGTGTGTTTTTGTGTGACGTATGTGTGTTTACGTCTGTATTTGTTTCTGAAGGAGCACATAGAAGAGCTGAGCAGTATGAGCCGGGTGCGGCTGGGTGAGGATGACGATGGTCTGCGCAGGCAGCTGCAGGCTAAAGATGAAGAGCTGCGGCAGGTGCAGAGGAACATGGCGCAGTGGAAGGAGAAAACAACCAAACGCCTCGCCCAGAAGTTTGAGGAGGAGCTGGAGAGGTTGGGTTTAGAGACACACACATTTGCTTTTTTTGTCAGGAAAGGAAAAAAAACAGGCTAAACTATGGTGTCTCTGCGCTGCTGTGAGTCACCCTGTAAAGCCTGGAATAATCATTTAGAAGCCAGAGGTGTTGGGTCGAGTTTTTTGGACCAGGTCATACATCTTTACTCGTTAACCTCACACACACAGGCTCAACAAGAAGGCCTGGCTTGATGTTTAGGTCTCAAATGCTAAATCAACATTATACTGATGAAGATATAATGACAACAGTCGATCATTTACCCACATCCTCTGAAGACACGTCCTTCGTACAGGTCAGCGTGACATTTTATGCAGCGTTTATGACCCCCTGTAATCTCCAGGGGACATTTATTGTTTTCTTGTTTACTTGTATAAAATCATAACACACAAAGACAATCAGTCACATCATGATTGAATAAATATGGCACCATTAAAGGCAGTTGTATGTGCTTTGTTGCCAACAGATGGAAGGTAGACTGGTTAAGGAAAAGGTAACGTAGATCCTCCTGCAGAAACAGGTTCACGTAGGCTAGAGGCTTATGCCTGTTTGTAGAAGACATCAGTGTGCTGATCCAGGATCAGCTCCTCTTTAATTATTCAGTGTTTCTTAACACAGTTCCAACACACGCTGATCCATTTTACTATGACCAGCCTGCACAACAACTACCTGGGGGCAGATTTAAATGAGTTAAAGAGGACAAATACATCTGAATGTATCTCCAGTGATATGTTAAGTGAGAGAGGGTTCACGGGTTCATTAGGATGAGGGGCCAAAATTGATCCTGCATCAGCACTGATAATACTGAGAGATCTAATCATTACTGTCCTTTCTGCAGAGTCTGAGACACTAACACTGTACTGCCTGTCCAACTAAAAGCTAAAAATAATATTTTAACAAACCTGCTATACTCTGGTTGCAGTCTAACAATCTAACAAATCCAGCTGTAGGTCTGCACTTATTAGTGTTTGTGTTAGCACTGGCTCTTTGTAGTGATAAACCTGTTTTGTAACAGTTTGTAATTGCTGGCAGGTGTTAGTTAAGCAATAGAACATGAGAGGGAGTGTGTTATTGCGAAATAACATCACGGCTGTGATTTGGTCGCAGGCCCGAGCCGAAGGCGAGTGCTGTAGATCACAGCCGTGATGTTATTCACAATAACATACGACCTCGAGAGCTCCGTTGCTTTTATACAACAGTTAAATAAATAAAGTAAGAAATAAATGAACTTGGCCGAGAACGCGGCATTTAATATGTTTCAGTGTTCGCAGTTCCTTCCGCCAAATTATAGTTCCTTGTTGCTACGTCAGAGTAACGAACTCCGCTCACTCGTTGCACAGTCTGCTGTAAGCCTCGCCTTTTGAAGTACCGACTGAGCCAAAAAAATTACGCAATATCAGGTTTAGCTCAGTTTTGTCAGTTTTTGCCAGATCAGTATTAATGCTGTTTTGTTCCAGCCAGTCTGTCAGACTTACAGCCCATTTTGTTTGGCGAATGGCACTGCTGTCTGATCCACTCAGACCAGCGCAACACACACTAACACACCACCACCACGTCAGTGTTACTGCAGTGCTGAGAATGATCCACCACCCAAATAGTACCTGCTCTGTGAGGGTCCATGGGGGTCCTGACCACTGAAGAACAGGGTAAAAGGGGGCTAACAAAGTATGCAGAGAAACAGATGGACTACAGTCTGTAATTGTAGAACTACAACGTGCACCTATATAGTAAGTGGAGCTGATAAAATGGACAATGAGTGCAGAAACAAGGAGGTGGTCATAATGTTACGCCTGATCGGTGTTTTAACAGCATGTAAAGCCCCACCCCAATTTGTTTTTCATTTTTTATGTATTTCTATTAATTATGCTCTTTTCAATCACCTGTGTTTCATAATTGTGGCAGTAGAGAGATAAATAGGCCACTTTTAACGGTGCATTTATTGTAGAATATTAATGTATGAAAAACTTTATTAGTAATTTTAGTCATTTTTATATTACTTATTGTGTTTTGAAGGAGGGTCTCCAAACCCAAGTTGGAGCCTCAGCGGAGACTGGAGCTGCTTGAGGGAGAGATGAGACACTTGACTCAGGTAAAAACACACAAATGTAGATGTAATTATGATATAATAATAATTATACAACAGTTAAAACACTGAACTTTTAGGTGGAAGAAACTGCAAATATTTTAAACAATACTGAGGCTACCTTTACTTACTTAACTTAAAAGGTCAGCGTTCATAAGGTGTTGATACAGCTGTATGCAAAAGTTTGAGGGCCCTTGTTTAATCTATGTTTTGCTAATTTCCTAAGTTTAAATAAGTGAACACATCCTCTACAGAGAACACGCTTCTACACATTTTGATGCACTGTTAGTGTTTATTTGCTGAATTTAATATATTGGAAAAAATAAAACATAAAATGTGGTCTGTGCAAAAGTTATGGCACATTTTTATAGGTTGTTTTATTTTTCCCAGTATGTTAAATTCAGCAAATAAATAGAAATTGTGCATGAATTTTACGTTTATCTATATTCAGCTTATTTTCATGTATACAATCAAAATAACTTGTAATTTGAGGTTGTTCAAATTGTTGCATACGACTGTACATAAACCTTTTTATGACAGCTGACATTAACCTACATAGACACTCATAAAGGCTTATTCCAACAAGCTTATTAAGGTGAAATTAGTTAAATTGACAATTAAAATTCTGTATCTTATAAAAAAGTCTTCATAAATGCTTATGTAAGTTTATGTCATGAAAGGCTTATGGAGGTGTCATGTAGCCTTACTAATGCTGTCCTTCAGTAAAGTGCTACAGTTTTTTCTGTACTATGCAAAACTCTTATAAAATCAATGGAACACATGAATGAATATATTAAAGTGAATAATCACAACCATGTTATTCACAGAAACACTCGTTTTCATGTTCCAATTCTTAACAGAACATGACAGTAACAGCAATATTTAGCATGTCTGTGGCTGCTGTAGTCATTGCTCCAGCATGAGGTGTTTGTTTTGACTCCGTTTGCTGACTGGCCCATCTCTGTATCCCCCTTCAGAACTATAAAGACCAAACAGACCTGGCCTCTGCTTCCTCTGCTAATATCCCAGACATGGCAAGCACTCCCAGTAGCCACGACCTGGCTTCATACAAGCTACTACGGCACCTCCAGAGCCGTATCCGTCAGCTCCAGGCAGACAACCAGACTCACACACCCAGCCCTGTGCATCTCAACGGGGTCCGAGAAGCCGGAGACTTGGCCGGATCCTACCTGGAAACAGTATGTGAACATCCACATGTATGTAATAAATACTAAATGTTATGTATTAAAATGTAGCATAGACAGATTTTCAGCTGAAATAATTTCACACTCACTGAATGATTTGATGTGAAATGATCTGTTCTAGACAAACTCAGAGTCAAAATTAGTCACAGTGGTGGTGACAGGAAGCAGACTGGAGCATCTGAAGCATTTGATGCCTCTAAAAGCTCCTTCACGGAAAGTTATAATTAATTGTAATAGTTTTGAAATAAGAATTTGCCCTAAAACCAATTTTATGATCCGTTCATAGGGCAAAATAGTCCCCAAAGAACGCTTATGACAGCGCATATCGTTGCTGTCAGGGCAAAACCTCGTATCTTCATTTTTTGTTGTTTTTCATTTTTCACAAAATTTAAAAAAAAGCAGTGGCCCTTTGTGTTGTCAATTTCCTGATGAACGGACCAACAAAAATAGTCCAAAATAACTTGTAAAAAATATTTCTCCATTTACTTCCATTAAAAGTTAATGTTTTTCCTTGTCCTGTAAAGTTATCTTTTTGGAGATATGAGATTTTGTTCCGACAGCAGCGATATTAAATTATAGCTCTACATACTCAGAGGACACGTAGGTTTGCTGGTGGTTTTGGATAGTAAATAAAATGGCTATATTTGTGTTGTAGATATCACTGGTTCCTGTCACCACTGTAAAGAAATGAGTTTGTTTGTAGTGCACAATTCCATATCAAACCACTCTGAAAGAAAATTAAAGAAATTTTAAAAATCGGTGGACTTCCTCTTCAGTCATCCGAAGTGTCTCACTTTTTATATTATGAGTGGCTATTTTTTTCATGCCTTTCACATGTTGATCTCCTCTTTTCCAGATTGCTCCAGTGCAGGAACGTTCCATGTCACAGCGCTCCAGCGGGAAGACAGCACCCAGTTAACCACTCTGAACCCTGGACGTTGACCTCTCTGACTCCATAATACCACCCTCTGGTGAGCTGGGTCATTCTAGCTGTACAGCGGCAAATCATTTCCAGTGACTGCAGTCTGTGGTGTCCTATAAAGGGGCCTTTGGTGCTGTCTTCAAAGAAGAGAAGCAGGTGTTTTACAGCTGGACTGAAAGTGGGAAGATGAGTGAGAGAAGTCCAGAGTACGTCCTCCCAGTGTTCTTCACCCACTCTGAAAAAAGTAAACATTAGTTTGGTGGCCTTGCCCTGGGTGTTGGTGTTTAAGCAAGTTTTTTTTTTCTGAAAAAAGGCACAGCTGCTGCAGATTAAACTAGTATTAATGCCTTCCATGACCACATTAACAGTTTATTACACTTAGCTCTGAATGGTGCTAAACATTTGGCCCAGATGTGGCTGCAGGTTTAATGTAATCCTACAAGTGTAGAAGCCACTCCAGCCATTTTTGTATCTTTTTATTCATTTGGACCAAATATTGTAGACTTTTAAGATCATTTTAAGACTATATTCTTAAAAATAAAGGTGCCAAAATGGGTTCTTTGGAGTGATTTCATGGAAGAACCTTAAGGAACCTTAAGAACTTTTCAGTGAATGGTTTTTAACGTCAACATGAATTCACAAAACACATTTTCCTTCCGGGATGGTCTCAGAGCATTTCCTCTCGATGATCCAATTTTATTGGCTAATATGTTTCCCCACCCACTGGTGCACAGTGATGTAATCGGTGATCAAAATATGTTTAAGATGCGGGAATAAATCGTTACAATCAAAGATTATGAGAAGAATTCTGTCATTTAAGTGGTAAGATATCAATCAGGGACATGAACTAACAAGGCAAAAAAGTTCAATTTAGATTTTGTGAAAATGCAAAAACCTCCACATTTTTTAAAGATTCTTCATTATGATACAATTTTACCTAGAAATGTAAATCCAAGCCAAAAACCATCTAGGAATGTTTGTTTTTAAGGGTGCACTTAATAATTAATAATTGATAATTATACTTACAATGCATGTTTTTTGCTAAATAAACACAAATGCAACCTTCCAAAAGTATTAAGTTTTTATTTATTTATTTATTTTTATTGAAAAACAGGTCCAGCTTTACACACAGGCCACTGATGTTTTTCTTAAGGTGCTGGTAGAAATAACAAGTAGGGAAAAAAACAAAAAAACAAACGCACATGTGGTTTTCAACTGTAGGCTTGGTGAATTTACAGCTCTTAACGTACTGTATTTTGTTCCAGGCTAGTTCCAGCAATGCTCAATCCATTTAATACAGCACCTGTTGTACAGATGCTTACTTTGTACCTCAGATCCTTAAGTGAGGATGCAACTAGGCATGTATACAGCATACAACACAGAACCTCGCATGAAAGAAGAGCATTTGTAGTATAAATGTATGGTAGCAAGGCTGGGAGCGCTAAAATTGTTTCTGTCAATGTTGTTATCCAGGCCTGTGCATGTAACTGTCTCCTATGTTACATATAAAAGTAAGTAGCACTTTCCCTCTTTGAGGAACAGCACAGACAGCGTCATAAAGTAAAACTGTGTCAATCGCTATGCAAAACACAACCTCCCGAAAAAGACATTTGACGGAGAAAGAAGTTAAGCTCTCTGATAATAGTTCACTGTAATATTAGTCACTCTGTACCAAGAAGAGACCCAAGTCTAGTCTCAAAGAAGTATTGAGTTGTGGTATTTGTTGCAGGGTGCTACTGACAAGCGGAATATTCAGCTGTGGACTGTTTTGTTGGAAATGAGCGCTTAGCCATGATGTGATAGCATATTTGCATCTGCGTGTTAGCAAAGTTCATAGATGTGCATGGCAATATGGTCCCTGCTACACAACCTCGTTTCTGACTAAAATACTGGCTGGGGAAACCAACAGAAAACAAAAACAAAACAAACAAAAAAAAACACAAGATGTGGCAACGAAACCTCATCTCATCTTCGTAGTGCAATGCCAAGAGCTCAAATCTCAAGGCATGAAAGATTCATTTTGGCAGAGATGATGCAATCCACAACTCCTCTGTTGTACTAGGTCAGAGTTCCTCACATTAACAAACATAGTACAAAGTCAGCAAAACGGCTTTCAAGGCTTAAGTCTATAGCTCCATATCCTCCTCCCCGCTGCTGCTGGAGGCCACTGGGGGGCAGTAGAGAGGGCTGAAGGCCTGTTCAGCTGGCTCTTTAGGCTGCATTTGCTCGGGGAGGGGGGTGCTGGGTATGGGCGTCGGCGTCTGTCTGCACACAGGGTGTTGTTTGCGCTGCTGTCTCTGGAGGCAGTCCTTTAGCTGCTGGGTGAATGGGTCCTCTGGGGGGCGCCATAGCACCAACTCCATACATGAGTGGCTCCTGCAGAAACAAGCAAGACAACATTGCCGCACTACTACTACCATAATGTAACATATTATGGGGTTCAATTAGGTCACATGCCGCTCTAAATATTCTTAAATATGTGAGGTTTATTGTGTTAAAACTGATAAAATAACATTACTGAGTCACTGAGCTAAAATGTGGTATGTATGCGCTGCTGCGAATTGACCTGTAAAGCCTGAAATAATCATTTAAAAGTCAGAGGTGTTGGGTTGGATTTTGTAGAGGTCACAAAATCAACATTATACTAATAAAGATGTGATGACAATAACAGATAATTCGCTCACATCCTTGGCATTCATGTCCTTCATCCAAGTTTTGACTGAGTTCTCTGTGAATACTCCTTTTCATCCACTTGGGGAAGGGGTCCGCCGCACAGTTACAAAATGTCCCGCCACATGTTGCGTGAAATTACACATTTCCACCAGAGAGGGCTCCAAATCCCCAAAACTTAGGCTACGTTCACATTACCAGGCTGAAGTGGCACAAATCTGATTTTTTGCCCTAATGTGACTCACAAATGGACACGCAAATCTGATGTTTTCAAATCTGACCTGAGCCACTTTCATATGTGGTCCTAGATGGGATACGTATCCGAATCGTGGCCATGTGACCTTAATGTGACGCTCAGATCGGAATTAATGTGCTTTTTTTCCACTGAGCGTGCGCATCATTCAGCGTTACCATGGCAGCAGCGCCGAACAGAGGTTAAAGCCTGTAAACGGTGGAAAAGCAGCTCATCTCACCTTTTTCTCCTTCGTCTCGCTCTAATAATGAAGCTGAGAGCTGATCAGAGTTAATTATCTTCACAGAGAAGCTCGTTCTGCTCGTTAGTTTGTTTGCTGATGATGCACGTGAGTAGGATGTGCGCATGTGGGTCATTTCAGGACGCCGGTTCGTTCACATTAATGACGGATCTGAATCACCTAAATGAGCGCACCATTTCACTTGAAACCACTCTGAATTACTTTATTTAGATCTCAACAACTAGATTATCCATATTTTTTAAAAAAATTGTGAACTTCTTCCTTAAAAAACTGAAAACCCATTGATGTCAGTTTCAGCATCTGCCCACTGGCTTGTATTATGTCCCAAATCGAGTTTTCTATTTACATCTCAGTTCAGGGAAGGTAATGAACCACATGCTGCCGATATGACAGAACGAGACTGGGCTGAAAAACACTAGTGTAATCCAGTGCTGCTGTGGCAGATTTGGAATGTGGTACTGCATATTATGTAAACTATATAGAGCTGCATGCTGTCTACAGAACTGTAAAGCTGCCACAGGGGTGAACACTCACACTGACTGCGCTACTGTATGAGGGAGAACATCGCCAATGCCTCGCTGCAGCCCCTCCCTCAGGCTGTCGGACAGCACAAGCACAGGCCTGCGCTGAGCCGGCTCCACGTCCAGGTCTTCATCACTGTCATCTTCCAGAGTGATCCTGAATACACACAGAGCGCCATCAGGGTGAATCCGGATCCTCAGCCAGTCCACATTTTTTATTCTATATCCAACACATGTTTGCAAAGATCCAGGCATGTTGTGAGTTGGACTAATAAAAAATGAAGATTGGCTGTGGATCTTCAATTTTGTCATGAGGACATTTTATGGTGCATTTATTTTGCGTGTTGGTACAAAATAGTTCATACTCGCACTGAATGAAGATAAGTTATGAGTGAATGTGGAGCTCTTGTGCATATAAACAATGTTTAATAGCTTGTAATAGTTTTAAAGAAATAAAGGTTTTCCTAAAAGATAGGAAAATCTGGTTTTCCACGATATGCGCCCTTTAAGTATAAATGAATCCGAGTGGTAACGATACATTCAGCCGATGTTTTGATTCGTTTGATTATACTGAGCTCACGACTCACAATATTTCAAAATAAAATGTGAACAGGTCTTGTGTACCTACATATCGCTGCTGTCAGTACAAAACCTCGTATCTCCAAAATGAAGACTTTACAGGAGAAGGAAAAAACCTACTTTACTGTTAATGTAAGTCAATGGAACCAGACTTTTTTCCAAGTCATTTTGGGCCGTTTCTTTTGGTCCATTCATCATGAAATTTACACACAATGTAAAGAGCAACAGGCATTTTCAAATTATGCCAGAAACTGAAAAACATCAAAAATGGAGATACAAGGCTTTGTTCCGACAGCAGTGATATACACTGAACATGCTGAAGTTGGTCAACACAAAAAAGCATCTATTTCTGACTTGTCAGCTAGTCTTCTACATTAATAACATGATGTCTCGGTGCTGTTTATTTATTTAATTAAATAAACTAACAAAGAATACTTGTTTAATTATTAAGTCCAACAAAGTCAGAAATTTGTGGATTTTCATTTTGTGGAAATGTGGAAAACTAGCTTTTTGAGCCAGAAACCACATGAATATGTATTTACTTTCCACATCAGTCATTTGTATTGTTACTCTAATTAGGCCTGAAAGATTAATCGTTTTTATATCAAAATCGTAATTGGAAAGAGGGCAATTTTCAAATCGCAAAAGCTGCAATTTTTATTATAGTGTTACAGTCTATTATCAACAATGTTGATTCATTCCAAGGTTTAAGTGGGGAAATTTAGTCTAATAACATGGAGCTCGTGAACTGCTTTTAGATAAATTCGACTAATCAGAAGCAACCAAACATACATGTGCTGTGACAACAATCACAAATAACTGGCAGGCTGGCGCTGAGTTAAGCACTCCAGCCTCAAGCCAGAAAAACTGTCCGCTGGTCTTCTTAACAAAAAAGGCCCACTACCTCAATTTAGAGAAAACAATTGCAATTTAAACCATAATCGCAATACTGGACAGAAAAATCGCAATTAGATATTCTGCCAAAATCGCTCTAATTAAAGAAGTCAATTAAAAATGCTCACCACAGTGCACCCAACAATAAAGGCAGCATGGAGGTTCTCTAATATAAGCTCACAGAAAGCTCCAATTCCACACACCGATCTATATTTATGTGGATGTGGCTCAACTACTCTGGTGGAAAATTTAAATGAGTAAAAGGTGCATTAAGTGATTAACTGTTTCTGTTCTTACCAGTACAAATAACCAGGAAAATATGTAGAACATGATTAAAAATAGCAATGATATCAGCACAAAGGCTATTATGCTCCTGAGAAACCTTATTTGGGAACCTGCAGGTGGAGCAGAGAGCTTATCTGTGTTTGCACTGACCTCCTGTCAGTCATTTTATAAGCCTCTCCCCTACACCACATAACTCTGCCCCCATCTCTGTCTGTTCAGCTCAGAAAACACAGCAGAATCTGGTTAATGACCCACTCCAGCAGATTCTACTGCAGGGAAAAACACACTGTGCTGCCAAAAAACATAATGCTTTTCATAGATTTCTTAAATTTATTATTAAGAATTATTACATGAGAAAGGGGGTGAAGCTGGATGCCGAATTAGTGCCGATCCTCTTAGACACGTTTGTAAACGCAATATGTATAAAGCACTGAACTGTTTAATGTTTAAGTGGCCAACTTTACATAACGAATCAAATACAAAGAAGTATTCA